GTGGAGCGGCGCCGCTTATTCAGCATACGGAGAGTGGAAAGGTCGTATTTGTCCACAATTGGGTGTTTTGTAAGTAAAAGAACAACAGGAGGGACGATGTAGGAGAAAGTGATGCGATAATTTTGCACATGGGAACACCATCGTTCAATGTCAAATTTAGCCATAACAACAAGGTGCAACCCAGAGAATATGGCGTTGTGGACCAAGCATGTTAAACCTGTATTAGGAGCGTGAGCAGTATATCCTCGGAATCAACGGAGCAGGCTTCGTACCATAGATATGATAGAAAGGCAAAAAGGCCAGTAATCTATCTCCCGACTTATCGGCGCCACCGTTCCAACTTAAGTTCCCTTCTTCTCCGGCTTTGAGTTGATGAATGTTGGTCACAATATTGCGATGTGAGAGCATTACTCCTTTGGGGACGCCCGTGGTACCGGAAGAGTAAACGAGAAAGGCAAGATCTTTGGACGGATCAACTTTGGTCTTTGCATATCGTGTGGACCGTGAGATATTCAGAACAGAGGTAAAGTGCTTGTATTTGGCGGTCGGATGCCTCTCATCCCCAAGCAAGATGATTCGATCTTCAGGTATGCCGACTTTCTTCGCGGCTGCGACAGCAACAGGTAAACAGGACATCTGAGTCGCCAATACCCTTGCCTTGGTACCCTTGAGCTGGAAGGCCAGTTCGTCCGCAGTATAAGCTGGGTTTGCAGGTGTGACAACGCCTCCGGCCCAGTGGGTGCCCCATATTACTGGGGGAATGTCAATGCTGTTCGGGGAGAAAATGGCAAGGACGTCGCCCTTTTTCCATCCCCAATTTGCCTTCAGACCCTTGCCGAATTCAAGGGCGGTGGATCGGACTTGCTCATAGGTGTAGCTTCGACCGGTATCGGCATCTTGGTATATTACTATGGGCAAAAAGATTTGTTAGACAGCCAGTGCTGCACTTGCGGAGGGGCAATTTAAAGGAGAATCGCATACTCTTATCATCGGGAAATGCTCTATTCTTTTGATTGAAGATTAGAGTCCAGATATCCACATCCGGGATGTCAACGCGCGGATAGTGCGAAGCGGTGGGCATATTGGAATCGAGGGCACGGTGAATATGCGCGGAGGAGCAAGGAACCCTGGCAATTGGACCTTGACGTCTATGGCTGCGGGACACGACAAGGGGAGTCCAGCGGGAGGGGAGGAAGGATAATAATAAAAGCCAGGTGCTGAAGGTGCTGAAGAGGAGGCAGAAATCCAGGCCTATAAGGTCGGTCGCAGGAGCCAGGGCGGGCATTTACCGATCGGGGCCCCGGATTTTACCCAGCGAGCAACCCCGAAGACTCAGGACCTCGGCATCTTGGCCGTTGGTTGGGTTTCGCCGTCTTGGCGCGCTAGCTGGCTAGCTCCTGTTCCTTGAACCTTGGGGATTCTCTGGTTGAAGGAGTTGATTGTGCTCTTTTATATAATAGTAAACTATTTCCATAGTCAATTCCATGGGTGCTCATGATTTTTGAGTGTCAGTTAACGCAAAGGAGCACACAAGTCCACAATGGTCGCTCCATCGTAACGACAGATCAGGACAGGTCTGCTCGAGATCCGGCGATGCCACCCCGTTATGCTGCTCGTCTTTTGACCCATCCGTGTTTTCCTCCAAACATAGACCCGGTGGTATCACTCTAATCTCAGAGGCCTCTAGTCCAGTCATAACCACTTTATCTAGCCGGTTTGGTGGAAATGGCTGCTTCCCATCAATACCCCAAGTGAAACCAGGTTCGCTGGGATGAAGATGAGACCACACATCCATCAGACCATTTGCACCAACAAGCTTATCATCTTCTGGAAGAACGGGGTTGAAATCACCCGCTGCCAGACCACGCCCCGTGGCATGCAGGTAAGAGGCGACAACCCAAATCTGTCGACCACGAAGGGAGGGCTTGATCGGGAGGGAATCTAAATGCAGGTTGATCAGGCGAATGCGGTTTCAGTTCTCCTGCGGTAATACAGAATTCGGCAAGCTGGAACTGGACGAAGGTAGAAGAATGTCACAGCAAAGTGCATCTCGGTCAAAGTGACTGGGATATTTCACTCTCCAAACCGGGCCTAGTGATATCCTGTTAGGGATGCTATTTAGTTCTGTGAAACGGGATTTCGACATAAGCGTCACGCTCGTGAAGGATTGTGTCCGGCAGTTGACTGTATCTGCGTCACTCAAATACCAGTGCTCACGGATCCAAGGTATTGCCAATATAGCCAAAAGAGCAGGGCGGGATACTTCTTGGAAAAATAAAATGTCGACGGCCGGATGCACGCGTTGGATATACGAAATTACAGCAGATATGCGTGCTTCGGGTCTGGGAGCGGCGGAATCGACATTCCACGTAATGAGGACTAGTTTCGGGTCTGAAGCCGGAACAATATCCTCAGATAGATTTTCCTGTGTGGATGTGGAATCGACAATGGCCCATTGGCAGGAAGACTCGTCAAATTTAGACCATGTTTGAAAGGTTGGGGAAGAGTCTCTGTCTAGAGCTGGTAAAGGAAGACCCTGCCACCATTCAAGGGCTTGGGTTCGGAGATAAGAAAGGAGTTTCATGACTGGAAGCAACACAGTTTATTAGCATGAAACTGGTTGCTAGGCTCTTGCGCTTATAGGATGGGGGATTTATATTCTTCAAAGATAAAGGGTGGTCAAATCCGACATCCATACAATGCCGTAGCCAGCGAAGTTAGGCTTCAACTCACTTGTTTGTCTTGTTTGCACGCATCCTTCTTGTCATATCTTGCATGTGTGCTAATCAGTTTCTCTGAATAAAACTGCTTCTGTGTTTGCATCAAAAGTGAGAAGGGTCAGTTCATGTACTAACTAGACACATGTGGATGGTTGCAACATTGCAATACTTCCTCAAGTTTGACAGTCCAGTCAACCACTCGCACTGGTATCCTGGTTTCCCGAAGCTCAAATTATAATTATTTTATCCGCAATTTCAAAAGTAAAGTCTAGAGTACACCGGCTGATGAAAGGATGTTACGAGAAGAACCTTTAGGAACAGAAAAACCACATCTCATGAGATCTAAATTTGACATGAAGTAATAACAAGGCATATGTATCTGCCACAACCAATAACATAGTCTGTCAAAGCAGTCTGCTTTCCACACTCTGGTATGTGGACTGCATTGATCTTCTCTGATCCTAGTGCTATCGCGCATCTTCATAGGCGTTTATGAGTCAGGTATCAAGCCAGAAGTTTTAAGGTTTTTCGGCAACAGGAACGTTAGCAGTTGGCAGAGTTCCGTGACCAACACGCTCGATGGATGCAGTTCGTGCGCCTGAGAGACCAAATTGTGCTGGGATGCCTTCAACGCGGTGAGTGGAGTTGATGTTTTTGACCATGGTGATTTGGAAGCAGGTAGCGCTACCCTGGCGGGAGATGATAGTAGAGTAGGCAAGGAAGTATTCCCAAATCTAACTGCTAGTTAGCCAGATATTCCAGGTCAAGGGTGGAGGCTGATTAGAGTATGAGCACATCAAGACGTACCCTGAACCATTTCTTGCCGTATTTCGCCTGGACCTTGTCCTTGTTTCCAAGCCAATTCCGGTACCATCGCCAGAGAGTGGCGGAATAGTGAACGCCCACAGTATCAATGCCTTTAATCTCAAAACCGGCAGCCTCAAGTTTGTCCACAACGAAGCCTAATGGTGTACTGGCATCTGCCCCGGGGAAAATGTATTTGTTCATGAACAAACCCCAAATCAAATCCTCATATTGCCAAGACTTGCGAAGACCAGCGATCTGTAAGAAGAAAACACCGTCGTCATCGAGCATTTCGTAGACCTGGGACGCGAATGAACCGAAATGTCGGACACCAACATGCTCAGCCATCTCCAGGCAAGTGATTTTCTTATAACCGCCAGGAACAGTGGGAGCATCACGATAATCACAACAAACAATTCGGCTCTGAGGCTCTTCAATGCCAGCTTTGCGCAGGCCGTTATTTCCCCAGGTAGTCTGGTTGCGTCCAAGAGTGATACCAGTAACATGAGCACCGTAATGGACACTAGCATATTTGGCGAGAGTTCCCCAACCAGAACCAAGGTCAAGCATGGTGTCACCTGGCTTCAAACCAATCTTTTCACAGACCACAGCCAACTTGTTATCCTGTAGTTGCTCCAACGTCTCCTCTTTGTTGATATCGCCGATGATGCCTGAGGTGTAGACCATGCGCGGACCGAGGAACCAGCCGTAGAAATCATCTCCGCGGTCGTAATGGCCTCGAACTTGCTCTTCATCTAGTGACGCAGAAGGGTTTGCGTCAGTTGCTTTATTATTCGCACGCAATAGAGCCAGATATAGCAACATACCTTGACTGCGAGTATGCATGATAACTTCAGGCAGCATTCCAGTTAAAAAGAATTTGTACAAACTCAAAGTGAATCTGAACGAGGCCCAATCATGTCGATACTCCAATGCCTCAAGACAGTCGCCCTTGAAGTCAACCTTCCCAGCAAAGTACATTTCATGGAAGGTCTCCATGGGAATTTTGCTTTTGCCATGGTATTTCGCTCGGTCATGTTCGCTGAGGAAGTGCAGGTAGTGTTCTACGGGTCTACCTGGATACTTGGCCTTTTCGTTCTTGCGAGGAGAAATCGACGACGCAACGGACCAGTAGGTCATGAGAATAGGGACGGTCGTGAAAATTCCGAGAATAACAGTGGTATAGAGCCCACCGCCGATTTGGCGTGCAAAGTACCATGGGACAAGGATTAAAAGGGAAAAGAGGAGGGTATTGGAGAAGGTATCGCTCCCTGCTCCATCTGCAGGAAGAGGTGCATTTTTGATGGCAGGATACTATTAACGCAAACGTGTCAGCTACCGAAAATCAATTTTGCAAGCCATCTCAGCCATTCAAAGCTCAGACTATCTCAATTGACAGGCTTCTTCGCTCTCGTGCAACTGATAGCTTGGGTAGATCGAGCGTCGTCGTAATACTCACCGACGTGGTCCGAACTCCACAATTTTCGGTTGAGGGCGACTGGCAGGGGGCAGCAGGGGTCTCAATGAACTCGAAGTCGTCCGAGGACTCGGAGTGAGTTCTCGCCATGTTGAGTAGCTGAGTGGAATGGCGGAGAGGGACGAGTCGACGAGCACAGAATCCCAACAGGAGTGGGAGAGGTGAGAATATCGAAGCAAGGCGAGTCGGGAGTTTTAGGTCTGTGCCTGGTCCCTGGGGGGAGCTATGGGTCAACACATGCCAATCCTTGCCGGCCAAACTCAATTCGAGTTTCTCTCAAACACGACAAACAGCCTTGACGAGGAGCTACAAAAGGAAGATGTAGGATATGCGAGTTGCTATGTAGACCTTCTAACCTGATTATGCGGTAACAAATGAAACACAAAAATAAAGCAGCCGGACTTGCTGCAGCTCGACAGAACGAATAGCCGGCCATAACACTCGACTGCACCCTGAAGAATCCCAACCCGCTGGTACCCCTTGACACCCTGCCGGTTACCAGTATCCTGCCCCAATCTGGCCCTGTAAGCCTCGTCCCTAACCCAGATAACGCCGTTGTCATTCTCAGTCGATTGATAGAGACCTTACAAGGTCAACTGAAAATTCGCCGATTCCTCGTCTTCCTGGTAAAGTGACGGGGGTATCTCGTCAAGGATCGCCTGGTGGACATCTTCGGTTTCAAAAAGGCCGGCAGTCTTGCACTTCAGCCACATCTCAGTCCCAAAAGGAGGACGCCCATAGAGCTGCATATACCTTTCGGGCGAGATGATACTTTTCGATGATGGTCGACTGGCCTTAACTTCCTCTTTAGATGATCGGCCGCGTAGAGCAGAAGCTATCCCACGTCCTTTTGCATATCCGAGAGTATTTTTTGAAGTTACAACGGCGGCAGTATGTCGCATAGCCGATGGATTTGATGGCGCTGGGTTCTTCCTTTTGGACGTCAAAGTTGGAACGATTCTAGGTCGCGCAGTGGAAACGGCGCGGGGTTTCGGCAGGGTGGTAGGTCGTGGCAGCTGCGAGAGGGCCTTCGCGGCACTGCGCGCTTGCAGCGTAGAGACCCGTCTCGTGGCTTTTGGTCTGTCTACTTTCTTGTTCTTTGCCTCCTGCACTCTTTGCGCCTCGAGTTTCTCAATACAGGGTTCATCAGGGAACTCCTGAATGTTGAGTAGCTCCATATCACGCACTTGCTGGACAATAAGTTCATCGAAGCGCTTATCAAAGGCGATTTGATCCTTCCTCCATTCTCTTTCCTTCTTGGTGAGGCCATCTTCTCCAATATCATACTCGTCATTGTACAACCTTTCCCACCCTCGAGCAAAATTTCGCCCCTTGAACTGTGGAAAGCTAGTATCGTAAGGAATATCTTCTGGGTCATCAGGAAGTGCTACCAAAAACAATTAGCAAGCGACCCCATTGTAATCAGTATATTTTCACTCACGTTGCGGCGTCGGAGGCATGTATTCAATCTCAGGGATTTCCTCCTCTTCCACATGATTCGAAGTTTGTGTAATGACTTGTTGTTTGGGAGCAGTTTGTTTCAATTTACGGACCGTTGAGCTCCTTCTCCCGGTTCTCGCTGGCTTCGTAGTACCGAATTGCGGTGCTGGTGTCTGAAAAGCTTTTGCATTCGTAGTTTTCATTCCGAGGGGTGCACGATTTAGACCTGCAGCGCATTTCCATTTTAGCAAGCGTTCCCAAAAAGTTCAATATCCGTATTGATTCTGAGAACCTACCCATCGGCGTAGCCAAGGGTCGTTTGTCCCCCGCTCCATCCTTTCCACCTTGTCTCACAGCATTTTCGTTATGTGGTCCGGCAACGGATTGTTTCCCCAAACCACGAAACGTCAACGGATTATTTTCATCGTTCAATGGAATCCTAAACGGCGTCTTTGGCGCTCTGTTTCCGGGTGTTTTCGGCGGGAGGGGCCTAATGCCTTGGTTGAGAGGTTTCGCGGCCGCGGCGGTCTGTTGAGAGTGCACCAGGTTCTCCTGGTCCCTAGACGCGAACATAGTAAGCGAGGTCAGCAATTTCGTAGCACTTTCACCTTTCTCGGGATACGTTTTTCCCCGTTTGGTTGGCCAGCTTCAAAGGTTTGGAGTTCAAATTTCAAGATGACGCGCTTGGCCAAGATCCAGGCGCTTTGTTTTGATTTCGTTGCCAGGAGCAACCATCCCCAATAGGGGCCTGACACATCAGAACATCGAATACTTTCCAGATACCTATTTACTTCAGGCTACAAGACATATTGATCTTGTCATTAAGATCAAATCTTCAAAGGTGAGGTGTTATGCTTTATGGCGCCCAGACTTTTCAATCTCTTACCAAAGATTTGAACGTCTCAGCCCGTTACAACACTGGAAATATGAATGTGGGTAAATTATTAGAATCTTAGATTCAATTCAGTACTCCTACATTTACGTTTCAAATTACCTTTTACAACATACCCTCCATTAAGTAGTCTAGCACACTCTAATCGATGGCATTTCATACATTCTTCATAGATTAATGAAGTGTGATCCAATCACCTTCTTTTGCCCTACAAGTGTCACTTGAAATGCGTCTTAAAGAGCTTGAGCTGTGCTTTATAGGATATACGGAAGCCATTCTCGAACCTGAATGTGTCATGAGCGTTTGGCTGGTTGGCGGTTGAAGTACGGAGTAAAACAAAAGTTTGGCTACCGGTTATGCCAGAGTAGTTAGTTTTAACGGCCAGGATATGGCTAGAATTTAAAGACTGATGATTTAAGTCCAACCTGGCATCTCTATTTGCAAAAGTCTTGCGGTGTTGAGTGGTGACCGCGCATATACGGAGTACCGTAAGCGCATAAATATAGCGCTCAACTTCCTTGCTTGTTCCTCGCGGAGAGCTTTGAGGCCAGAAAACCTTTGGTTATAACCATACTCCGTACTCCGTACTCCAGTAACCTGTTGCTCTTTATTCGCTCCCTAACACGCACTCTGGTGGTGATTTGCTTGGTTAACTAATTAGTTTGCTCCAACCGCGAAACGCCCCACCAAACCTTTAATTGAACCGCGTCCAACGCGCAAGTGCCCCAACTTCCAACACACAAGACCGAGTGCACCTTGGTCCTCTTTGTTATTGATTTTGACGCTTGGGGCACGTTATTGACGTCCTTTACGGGTGTTCCAACGACAGAATGTCACAGGCCGCCAGTTCTGGCCATCCCGAAATCGGGGGGTTGAGTACCCAGGGCCAGTGTAGCGCGTTGAGCCTTGCGGATGAGAAACCCTGCCAGGCCGCTGCAACATCTGTTAACGGTTTGTTCTGTGGGCTGCATGCAAGACAATGTCATGGTAAGCAAATGAGAAATGTGCCCCTGACGTGCATCAATTATCTAACTTTCTAGGCCTATACGTGGGCTACAAGCGCCGCAATGCAAAGCTCGACGAGCTGCGGGCATCTCCGCCTAAAACTTTGGCAAATAGACCCATGAAGTTAGCCAATGACTTCTTCAAGGATATCGAGGATGAAAAGGTCCTTCTAGAGATTCACAACTACTTCCTCCAGCAGTATCGCTTGCTTGATCGCGTTATCAAGGCCCGCAAACTGCATCATTGCCATTTCTATGTACAGAACATGGATTACGGCCACCAAAAGTATCTAGACACGCTTTTGAACATAAAACTGACCGTTACGAAAGCCCTTGAAAGAATAGACATTCAGATCACCGTCGTGCTATATCAGAAACAGAAATGGTTCCAATGGGTTCGACAGTGCCAGGAGGACGACGAAAAGGCTCGCGACAATGAAAAGAGAAAGATTAAGAGGGAAGCTGCGCTGTTTAGACGACAGGCGAAGGAGGTCGAGAGACGGTTACGTGACTTGCGGTCGAAGGAGGAAGCAATCCGACAAGAACAGTTTCTGGAGCAGGCCTATCAGGAGCGGCTCGCTGAGAGTGACGAAGACTGGGATCCCATCGAGGACATGGTCGAAAATGAGCGGGACTCTTACACTGATATTATCAAACACTTCCTTTGGTTGAATAATTGCGACCTCGAAGATGGCGACCCTGCTAAACCGGATGACTGCGAACCTTCTAGCGTGCGAGAAGAAACCGAGCATGAAGTTACATGCGCAGCACCTCAGCCCATTGCGTCTTCCAAACGCAAGAAGAAGGGAAAGAAGGGAAAACAACCGAGCACAACCTCATCCACTGATGAATCTTCGAACATAAGCGATGTGTTAACGATTCGCTCAAAATCCACATCGTCAAAAGCCAATACGCTGTCAGATGGCCAGAAGCCTGATATAGAACGAATTGAAAGCCGGGAAGAAATACGTAAGAGGCTTACTGAAGGAATGAAGATTGATATCCCAAACGTAGTCGGGCTCTGCCTTGAGCGACGTGAAGATGGCACAAATGTAATGGCCGATCGAATGCCCGCTTTCGAAGAAGAAGAGGCAGACCGTTTACTGGATGAAATCACAGCAATAAAAGGCTATCTTTTCTGCCGCCTATTGCTGAGCAGCCCTGTCCTGTTAGCGGTGGCACTGCGGGTTGGAACGATCGAAGAGTTTTTCCGCGATCCAGAGGTTACCGCCACTGATCTCAGGGATCTTTGCTTGAAAATGGAACAGCCACAGCTTCAAGATATACGTGACGCATGTGCAGATTTCTTTCGCGGTAATGAGGATGACGAGCCATCAAATGCAAATCGAGATGATATTGTATCGGAATCCGAAGACGACGACGATCACTGGCCGGTCAAGCGTTCAAAAAAGGGCATTCCAGATAAATGGGAACCTAAGCGGAATAAGGCCTCCAAACGCCAAAAGAAATCTCGCGAGGCTAATGAGCCCGACACGGATGTGGTACAGGAGCCTGGTGCACCAATTGATTTTGGGAAAATCGAATCTACTTCATCCCCGAGCAAAAGTGTGAGAGTTAAACTATGTGGCCGGCTCATATACTACTATCCAAGTGAGAGGTCGATGAGTCGAGGTGGCTGGCTTCATTTTAGCATTATTGCAAAAGACTGCAGCCTTTACAAAGCAGTGGAACTTTGCAAGTCTTGGGATGAATTCTTTGAACTGAACGTTCTGGCGGTTAATTTCTACTTCCCGTCTCCATCTTGGTTGCGGTGGATTGGCAATGCCACGAAGACGCAACTCCTTATGATGGTGCGTCCTTTCCGATCCTTTATCATCACATACAGAGACTCATCACATTGCCGTAGGGTTTCATACCGTCTTTCATAAATGCCAATGCCGAAGCCCTCACGTTTAGCAACAATGAGCGGATACGCGGCTGCGGCCGCATCCATGCAACGAGAGAGGTAAGGAATTTTGTATGCGGGCAAATGAGGCGTGATGACCCTGTCAGTCGAAGATTTATTCAATACGTAGCGATGCAAAGCAGCCGGATGATGATCGTTGTGCGAGATGCAAAGTCAGGTAGAATCCTTACAAAGCCTCCAGACAGCGCCGCTTGGCTTGTCCGTGAAAGAGTTGGACATGGAAGGGCATCCAAGACTCCGTGGAAAACTCTCAAGTGCGTCGACAAGAAATTTTTCGACGAAATGGACGAACTTCGCGCTTTTCGTCTTGGCTTTAACAATTTCTACGATGTCTACATTTGGAGTGCCATTCCCGGTGACAGTTTTGATGCCTTATATAGTGCTCTCCTGGAGGTAGGGCCTTTATATTTTAAGCCGATATTTGTTGCAGGTGCTAACATTGAATATTTAGATGCTTTTCAAAGCTCAGCGAGTTGAACGGCCCGCCGACCATTATGATGCTGCCGCATCGATTCTGAAGACATTAGTCGTTGACAAAAAGACACGGCGCGCTCGGGATATTAGACCGAACGATAACCAGCCTAACCTATATGATACCTATCATAGTGACCAGGTAAGTTTTGTTTTCCGCAATAATACTGGAAATGTTATGAGCGAGACGCCTCGATCCCTCATATACAACGCCGCGGACAAGTTGGAAGATGAAGTCCTTTTCCCTGATCAATTTAATGGCGAAACGGAGAACGAGATTGTCGCAATCAAAAATAAATTACATGCCTTCGAGCATGGCGAAGTTAAGAATCTCTTGAAATGTTTTGCGCACGATCTTGAAACCGATGAGGAATACGAATCCGATGTCCATGGCTCTGAAGCTTTTGATGAGGATGATTGGTCGACATCTGACGGTGAATCGACTGGCGCACCAAGTCTCGAAGGAGATGAAGACGAAGGAACCGAGGAGGAGGATCTAAAAGAGGGCGAAGGCTTAGAAGAACAAAACGCCAAAGATATAGAGAGGTACTAAGCCCAATACTGCGCTCAAGATGTTATAAGCTGACAATGCGCGACAGACAGGCTTTGTCTGCGATCCCAGGGCTCCAGGAACTTTGCGACGCGTCGGATGAGGCCAAAAAGATCCTGGACTCTTTTGGGCCAGGACCACTGGATAATTTAAGCTACGATTCAAGTATGAAGATAGAGTTCGAGATTTTCCTCGAGAGACACAAAGCCAGAGGTGAGAGCGGGCCATCTTGGTTATTTTGATATTTCGGCTTGATTGCTACCTCGTCGGCTACTAAATTCACTAACTTTCTCGCAGTCTTCAAGGATTCCTGGCACAAGGCGGACTTAGAGCCGGGAGCACCTGAGAGATGGGAAGAGTATCTTACACTCCGCGACGATGCTTCTGCAACCCTCCATCTAGCGGCGGCAACCATCGCTCAATGTTGGAATACTCTTAAATTTTTGGACTATCACCCAGAAACTCACAGGAACGTAAGGAGAGATATACGCCAGGCATATGTCATGACATCCTTGTTCTTCCCTATAGGTCATTTATTTTTTGAGGGAAAGTCTGGGCCTAAATGGAAAGACTCATTGCTTTTCAAGCAAGAGGAGCGTGGCAAGACTCTTCCAGACCGGCGAGGCTATCGCAGCGGGCGGTACCGAGAGGAGAAGTTTTTCAAGCAGCTGGATGACCTCAGGAGCCGATGCGTTATCGAGAATCGTCATATGGCCGATATATCTCCTTTGGAATGGGACATTGTCGTGCGACCTAAGATTGCGCGACGTAAGTGAAGCCATTTTCGTCGTAGACAATGTTTAGCCAACTTTTTCACTGACCGCTTGTTATAGTATTCAAAGAAGGAGTTATTGGCATTTGCTACTCGGATTCCAATGTGGTCCCCGGCGACGCATTCGCCGGCTTTGAAGAGGGCCGGGATCCCGATCTCTTCTTCGACTTTAGACCAACCATTGAAGCTACCACCATGCCACCGGGGCGAGAAGACCCGACCAAAATCACAGTTGACTCTTTGCGGGGCAAGCTTCGCAGCTTCTCCTTGACTCGGCAAAATGCCCGGTTTTCGTTCCTACGACTCTGGAGCGCTCCGCATTTTTACCCGCTGATGTTTAGCGCGCAAAACCGACATCCGACATCGTTTGGGGATTTGATTGGCCGTATCTGGGAATGGAAGTTTATCCCCAAAGACATGCCGTTCTCCGAATGGAGTATACATTTCAACCTCTGCCAGCGGCTTGAGCCCTACAGACGAGTTCTGCGGGATAAAGTCATCGTCAAACGGGATATGGTGCTTATTATGGGTGAAAATGAGGAAGAAATACTACAGCTGACTGCTGCTGTTACATTTGTGATCCAGACTCGTCCCTGGAGATTGGAGGTTGACTACTGGAAGAGTTTTATTAATGTGGACATTGGATTTATGAATACTCTGCAAGATGGATGGTATGATTGATGGCTCTGTTAGCCATCATTTTCGGTATAAGCTGCGCCTTCTTCTTGGATACAGCTTGGTTCGTTGATATGTTAATACACTGGATAGTATCTTTTCTTGAATAGAATGTTTCCATGGACGATATCTGAAGCTCGCGGCGCGGCCCACAAGCTTAAATAAGCTGCAATCCACTGCGCTACTCCTTGATTGGTCTAGCGCTCTTCTCGGAGTTAGTGAGCCATGGGGCTTCCTTAACTCCGCCTCGCTAGTCGAGCCATAAAGACGGATGGAAGAGCTGAGAGCTGGGCTGGAGGAATATGGGGATGAGAACTACTGCAATTCACTCTATACCATCTCAATGTCCAACCAAAGCCCAAAGCCGTTCTGCTTGCCTGCAAGTGTAACCGTGGTGGCGAAAACGGGAATGTCGTTGGAACCGTTGTACAGTAAAACTCTAGATTTAAGACCCAGCAATTCTGGATCCGATAACCATCGCGGGCAGGGTTTCCGAAGCCGGTCCATTCAAAATATGTAACTAATCGAGGATCGATCTTGTTGACACGAACGCGGGAGCATTCGGCTGACTAGCTGATAGCGTTCTAGCAAGGCCTTATGCTAGAAGCACACAATGTGCACAAGCTGATTATAGGCATCGCTTTTGGCCAATACACAGAAGTGGTGGGCGGCAGAGAATATGTTGCACTAGCCAACCGTGGGGATCCCCGAGAAAGTCGATACCAAGTGCTTTGTCAAGGAAAACGAGGCTGGCTCGACTGGAATCAACGGTCGTTGCAGCGATAGTTGTCGTGCAGCGCAGTCTTTTGGTGTGGTTGCGGTAGGGCCGCTAGCTCGACTGGGTTGCAGGGAAGGAAGGCGATCGACTCGCATGATGCGGGGAAAGTACCCTCTCGCCTGCCCCCAAGCCGCCATCCAGTTCCCACCTCAGCTGTCAGTGAGTTCACGCTCGTTGACTAGCTCTCCGGTGCTCAACACCACAGCAGGACCAACAGTCCACCACTGATGGGTCTCGGTCCATGATACTCAATGTCAAGCAGATCTCGCAGGCAAAATGAAAGACGATGATTTAAAAAGGCAGCTTGGACAGGTGAGCTGGCCTCTTGTGTCTTCAGTCCCCCCTAGCTACCTCGTTCTTGCTCTGAGAGAATCCCTCAAACTCATCTGATCATTGCCGTCTGCAGCTGTTTATCGTCGGTTTTAGAGGGCCAACTGCTACTGAGGAGATCAAATCACTCATTCGAGCTCCATACTATTGCGGGTCAATCATTCTCTTCCAGCGAAACATCAAGAGCGCCGAGCAGTTGATTCGCCTCATACATGACCTCCAGCGCACCGCACGGGAGGCGGGCCACACGCGGCCATTGTTCATTGCCGTCGACCAGGAAAATGGCGTTGTTACAAGGATCAAACCTCCAATTGCCGCGCAGTTGCCCGGCTCCATGGCTATCGGCGCCAGTGGGGATCTAGACGACGCGAGTCGTGTTTCAGGTGCCACAGGCGAACTCTTACGCGGGTTGGGGGTTAACATGAACTACGCACCACTGTGTGATGTCAACTCGGAACCAGCAAACCCAGTAATAGGGGTTCGATCTCCAGGCGATGACGGCACATTTGTTGGCCGAATTACGAGTAGAATAGCCCGAGGGCTGCGGGAGAATAACATCGTGCCGTGTGTCAAGCATTTCCCGGGTCATGGAGATAGCAAAGTCGACTCACATCACGGCGTTCCAGTCGTGAACAAGACCAAAGAGAAGCTCGAAGAATGTGAACTGATACCTTTTCGCAGAGCAGTCGCTGAAGGAATCGAGGCTGTAATGACCTCGCATGTCATCATGTCAGCTTTCGATGATTCTATATATCCCGCGTCAGTCAACAGGAATGTGGTTAATTTTCTTCGTCGTGGATTGCAGTTCGACGGCCTTATCGTCACAGATTGCCTTGAGATGGATGCTATAAGGGTACAATTTGGGACTGAAAGGGGAGCTGTGTTGGCCTTGGCTGCAGGCGTTGACTGTCCGATGATAAGCCACACCTATAGCCTACAGGTTCGTGCATTGGAGGAGGCCTTTAGGTGGTGCAGAAATCACCCTACTATGCCTCGACAGATTTCCCGTTCCGTATCCCGCGTTTTCGCTTTAAAAGACAAGTTCCTCGATTGGGATTCGACCTTGCAGCCGCGTCCTGCCAACGCAGTATCCCAGATGTACGCTCAACATCGGAATCTGGCAAGCGATGTATACGCCCGTAGCGTCACACTCATTCGGGACGAGCAGCAAGCACTTCCCCTATCGAGGAACTGCACTTTGGCGTATGTATATCCGTGTGCAAAGGCTGTTCGAGTCAGTGCCGCTGGAAGTGGTGAAACCATCACTTGCGTTTCGTATACGCCGCCTGAATTCCCGAAAATCCTTAATCAGTATGCTCCGAATCTGGTCGAGTGCCCATTTTTTGACGATGCAACTCTACTTGACAATGTAAAGGCCAAGATTTCAGAAGCAGATGCAGTTATCTTAGCCTCACGGAACTGCAAATTGAACCCGGGCGAAAGATTGGTGGCCACGCAGCTCCTAAAAGATACGAAGAAGCTGATAAGCGTTGCTACGGCTGCTCCTTACGATTTCCTGTGCTCGAATGTCAAAACCTGCCTTGCCATGTATGAGCCGACTCCTGAAGCCTTCAAAGCAGCGGCAGACGTTATCTTTGGTATCAAACAAGCATCAGGAACGCTTCCTGTTTGTGTCAAACGCACCGAAATCCCAGTATGCCCCTTTGACCGGGAACGTGACATGGACGCAGTCATTCGTCTATGGCATACTCTGCTACCCAATTATGCGGTCCCTGTTCACCGACTACCTGGTCTTCTTAACCGGCCAAATGGTTCGCACTTTACAGTTCACATGGAAAGCCAGCTTGTAGGTTTCATTGCCACTTATGTCAATGACGATAGGCCTACGGCGTATATTTCAACACTCTTTGTTCATCCGAAATACCAATCGCGTGGGATTGGTACTGCGCTGATTGTCCATGCCCGTCGCCATTTAAAAACTACATGCGGAGCTCGTTCTATTAGCATTGGTTCAAGTTTCCCTAGATTCTTTCTCGGCGTACCGCTTGATATCCCGAAGGCGTCTCAGGAATTTTTTATCCATCGTGGTTTTGTGCCGGCGCAAGGCCCAACGGCCAGAGATTTCACCGCAGACTTGAGAGCGTATCAAGTCCCGGGCAAAGTGCTACAACGCGCATTCGCTGCACGAGTCACATTCACTCGATGGAAGAGCGGTCTATACGAAGAAGGTATAGCGAAAATAAAAGAGCTCTGGGGGGATGATAAGGTCTGGGTTGGCGCCTACGAACGATTAGCACAAGCGGGTCGGCACGACCAAGTCATGGTGGCAATAGACAGTTCAGGAAAGCAGATCGGGTGGACATTGATGCAAGAACTTGGTTTCGGGATGTCGAACGACCTTGCCTTCATGCCATTATTAGGGGAGAAGACTGGGCAAATTGGCTGCGTGGGTGTCCATCCGAATGCGAGGAATAGAGGTGTCGGCCTAGCGCTGATTGTGAGTGCTGCAATGGACTTGAAGAACAGAGGCATGGAGAGGGTGTTTATCGACTGGACGAATCACGTTAATTTTTATGAAAAAGCCGGGTTCAAAGTTTGGAAGGAATATCGACCCATGAGTCTAAATGAGTTTGTGTAAATAGAATACAGGCTCTCCTTATCGCCTCGCAGCGATTTATTTCGGTGCAAGCTCAACATTAACGTGGGCTATGCTTTGAGGGCTTAGACGGATACCTTGGGGAGAAAAATCCAGTATGCCTGGTCTCGGTATTGTCTACACGTATTAGGCTCGATCTAACAATCGAGATTGCGAGGTGCGTTTTAGAATCCATTCTCGTCCAAGGGCTCTAAACCAGGATCCTCAAATGGTGTTGCTCCCATAGCTCTCCACGCCCCTTCGGACATCAACGCGATGTCTTTCTCTTTCGCGTGGAATAGCAGCTCAGCCTGGCCATTTCCAAAGTGCGTGATGGATTTGCTCTAGCAGAGGAAAATAAGCTAACCGGAAAACGGATATAAGAAAAAAAAGGGGGGGGAATGTTTTCCGACTTACCAGTCCGAGAGTTAATTTGATCACTCCATCTGCCCAATGTCGCGTGTATGTGGCTCGTGGCTTCTTCCCCATGGCCGCCAGCACGACATTATCGCCTGCAACCGTAGCCTGATGCGTGGCGGAGCGGGAGTTGGGGTTTCCAACGTGCAGGCTTGCCACATCTCCACATGCGTAGACATTGGGCAAACTGTCGTCATTTACCTGCATGGTAGGCTTGACGTCGATATGGCCTGACGGAGAGATTGAGCCGGGACTCAACTCCGCGAAAAGATTGGACGATGGTTTTTGACCAGTACAATTGATCTATGTTCAATTCTCAGCATCCAGTCCAGCTTCGGACGAGGCTCAGGGAGAAAGGGGGCATAGTTACTAGGTAATCACACTCCACCACCCGTCCTGAAGTTAGCACCACACGGCCCTGTTCCAAATCTTCATGGGCCATTCTGTCATTGAGAATCACTTCAACACCCAATTCCTCCAAGGCTTTCAAAGCAGCCGCCTGCAGCTCTGGCCCAAACCTGTTCATTACCGCATGGCGCGAATGTACCAACACAACTTCCTTCTCTGGATAATGCTCTTTCGCATCCGCCGCGAGCTCCACGCCGGCGGCTCCCGCCCCGATAACGACGACTTTCTTCGCGTCCTTGATCCGGTACTGTACTTGTTGGAGACGCTTCATCCCATCCTGCTTTCTTTCCGCGCCCACTCGCGAAGGCAGCTCCCCACCGTGCGCTGAACCGGTAGCGATCACCAGAAATTCATATGGTATTTTCTCTCCGCTCGTCAGTATGACGCACTTCCGCTCGATGGTTTCGACCCGATCTCGGATCCACTGAACTGAGTCCGCAGCGTCGCCGAGATACGGGCCGTATGGAATGAAAGCCTTGTGCTCATGATCTGGAACGACGCAAAATCGCGGTAGCACCCAGGTGAACTGAAAATGTGTATTCGGCTCGATTATGATGACTTTGTACGGACTGTCGGGTGGCAGAGAGGTAGCAATTGTCCGTGCTGCATGATAGCCCGCAAAAGAGGCACCAATAATCACAATGGGACGGACTTCTTCTGGACCTGCTGCGGACGAGGGCTTACGCCATAGGGATCGCGTTTTCCGTTTGACCGTACGGCGGAGTACATCGCCGTAAAGCCGGAGAATATAGGCGAATAACTTCGCAAAGAGGACTTGCTTCTCAAGCATGATGAAGCGATGCTGCGTTCTCCAAGCTCATTTATGAAAGTCAACAGAACAACGCTGCGGGAGGTGGGAAGGGAGTCCTCCGTACATATCCTGTGGAAATCCCGGAGTTATCCTTGAACTGACCGGGGAGCCTGCATTCCTGAATTGGGCCCCGTTAACCGAACAGGGCTTGGCTCACCCTGGTCGCTGGCACAGGCTCCCCATTTCACCGGGTAACTCGGGGGCGCAATCGGAGACTCGATGCCCTGGACGGCGCGCTGATGAGACGTCGTCGGTTGGCTCCTTTTCGCGCAGGCCAAACTGACTTTCTTGGCAGTGAAAACTCTGATCAGATAAGGGATTAGAGTTCGGCTAGCTATCAGATTAGATTATCAGATGATCTGGAAGCGAGCGATTCCGCGGTTTCAAGGAACAACCCGGGAGGCACAAGCACGCATCCGGTGACAAGTCTCCATCGTTCCCAGAGAGCTGGGAATCCTCGAAGCTGGCCGAGAGAGAGCCGTGCTGCGTGGAGGTTGCGAGGGACTTCGCATCAATATAGAATCTCAAATCGAGACGACATAGGGCAGCCCTGGTTTCGCCGGACTTTGTCGTGATAATTAATGGCTGCGCTAGCTGAGGAGATAATTAGCCGGCTGGATACGGGAGTGGCGCTCGAATTTTGGTTCCAAAGTCGAAAATAGCCAAGCAGCTACGCGAATATGGCTACCGAGCAGAGCTCTGAATCCAGGCCCCTCGTTCAGAGCGAGTGAAATGCCTGATGGAACGTAATATATATAGGAGGAGGGTGACATTGTCCCATAGATCCGGTCTTCGCTTAGAGTGGCTCTGATTCTCGTCATTGTCGAACGTTTTCATACTGCCATCCTGCCAGCGGACAGTTTAACAACAGATTCAGGAAGAGATATCGAGAAAATAGCAAGAATGGGTTTCGCAGTTTTACCCGCTTTGATCCCGGACATTCCCAAAGTGTACGATGTCTATTTCGCTTCCTTCAACGCGGATCCCATGGGAGCAATAATGCTTGATATCCTTTTCCCCGGTGGCATCACGGACGAATTTCGCAAAGCTCACTCAGAAGGAACGCTCAGTTACTGGCACACGGCCAAGACGCAATACACATGGAAATGCGTGGACACGGATACTGAAGAGATTGTCGGCATGGGACTCGCAGACATATTTTTCCACGAGCGCTCTGAGGAGGAACGCAAAAACCCCGGCATTGGGTGGTTGGAAGGCAAGGCTAAGGAACGGGCGGAGAAGATCCTAAATCCTCTGTGGGAGGTGAGAAAGAAGATCTGGGGAGGCAGGCGTTACATATGTAAGTCTGGGGGATGTTGCAATCACTGTTGGCCGACGGAGTCGCGAAAAGCGCTTTTGAGAACACTTCTCAGCTGACATTCTGCAGATTGCCACGTTATCGGCGTTGATCCCAAGCATCAGGGCCGCAAGGCCGGTGCAGCGTTAGTACGATGGGGTATCGACCTAAGCGAACAGACGGGACTGCCTGTGTACTTTGAAGCATCGCCTTCAACCTACAAGATGTACGAGAAGATGGGCTTTGAAACAATCAAGGAGAAGGTTGTCCACAAAGCAGAGGATTTGGGCGTGAAGGCGGATATCGAGGTACCACTGATGGTCCGTTTACCCTCGTGTGCTGGAGGGCAGACGTTTGAGGAATGGAGGGCAAAGGGATTCCCGGCTTGGGATCACTGAACCAGACAATGATAGGGAAGATTGCGAGAAAACGCTTGCTCGGCACGCGTAGCATGGTTCATCATGCTTATCAATTGCAGCTAAACGAGCAGTTGGGAGAAGTGTTCTAAACCTAGATGGAGAAGGCCACGTACAGCCTAAATGTTGTATAGGTAATGTTGTGGGGGGAGATGGCGTGGAACTTGAGTAAAACGAGTTGGCATATTTGTCACTTTTTCTGTCTATAACAAGTTATATTTGAATGTCCATTCCGCGCTGAATCAGGAGCCAGGTTTATTGCTTTGCTGGAGCTTTATGATCGAGTTTGGCAATTTTTGCAGTCTTCCAAAAAGCATCGTTTGCAGCAGGCTTGACGCCATTATCAAGTAAAACGTTGACTACCCTCTCGTTCTCCGTTTCTTCCGCCAATTCCAGCAGATATTTGGCACTGGGCACGAGGCAGTCAACATTTCGACACTGAGGAAGCAATAGCCGTAGCAGTTCATCGTACTGAGCCTGTATAAGCCGGGCAACTGACGGGAGCGAATAATCGGCCCACATGTCCAGAAACGCGCCCTTTTTCACCAACATCATCATGATATCGTAATGATCTTCTTCGATTGCCTTCTTCAGCGGAGTGGTGTCGCGCTTGTAGTGTGGGTTCGCGCCGTGGTCAAGGAGCAACTTCGTGACGGCTGCATCACCGTTGACTACAGATTGGAACAACGGTGTCATTTCGTCATTGCCTTTACACTCTGTATCGGCGCCGGCCTTTAGCAAAGATTCCACAACGCCCTCCCGCCTGGTGATTACGGCGATATCCAGAGGCGTGAGGCTACGTTCGTTGCGGACGTTGACCAATGCTCCGGCCTCGAGTAAACAGTTGACGACCGCCAACGGTTTGTCTAGCTCCACTGCCGCCATCAGTGGTGTCCTGCCCTGACCGTCCTTGGCCTCAATAGAGGCTCCTTTGTCAAGCAGGAATTTTATGATTTTTGTATCTGGCGACCCATCTGCCACCGCTGTGTGCAATGCAGTCCAGCCTAGAATGTTCCGGTCTTCCAAATGATAACCCTTTTCAAGGAACAGGGACATGTTGCGCACGCTCCCTGAACTGATAGCATATGAGAATGGGCTATAGCCATTCTTCGCCTTTGCAATCATATCGGCTCCAGATTCCAACAACAAACGCAACACCGTCGCTGATTCGGTAAGTGCAGCAGCCATTAACGGGGTGATTCCGTCTATATCTCTTGATTCGATATTTGCCTTGGCGTCAAGTAGCGCTCTCACAGCGTCTTCGTGCTGATGATGCGCGGCAATCCAGAGTGGCGTTCGGCCTTGCTGGTCTCGTTGCTCTGGGTTTGCTCCGAGGTGAAGGAGGAGCGTTACCACGGCGGAATGTCCGTTCGCCGCTGCGATCCAAAGAGGCGCCTGTCCGGAATTATCGCCACCAAGAGAAGGACTATAGGCAAACAGATACTCCACAATGGAGATATCGCCTGCCTCCGCAGCATAAAATATCGCTGTGCGGCCGTTGTCATCTTGTAAGTTTACGTCAATGGACTCGAGGCTCAGCAGATCTTCTATCAATTCTCTGCATTTCCTTTGCACCGCAAGACATAATGGAGGCGCGGCTAAACCGGAGTCCTGACTGCAAACCTCTTTCTGCCACCTTTCTGCAATGACCAAGCATATCGGATAGAAAGGCTCAGCTTTGAATGCCGCGGACACACTCATATTCTCGATCCCGTCAACCAAATCGCGCTCCAACTTTTGTGTAAGAGCGTTGACATGTTCCGTGTCCCCCTTTATTGCAGATATCTGAGTAGCAACCCAAAGGTAGGTTTGGTTTATCTTGTTATACCTGGAATCTTGGAACGATCCCAATCGATGAAGGATACCCTCGTAGCCAAATTTTCGGAGCTGGATATCGCTGTTCATTAGCGCACGGCGGTAGAGCTCTCCTAGTTCCTTTGCTACTTGTTCCAGGATGGGTGATGTTATGTCCTCCGTGTGAAGGTAGATCCACCGAAGCAAGTCCTCTGCTTTGACGAAATGCTCCTTTTGCCTCGCTTGGCGAGCCAGCTCTAAGGCCCTAGTCTTAATAGTTTCCGGTATTGTAAGCAAGGACTGCGCTTGAAACGCTGGAAGCACAGACATTATGCCTTCTTCCCATGACCCCAACTCGGCATCGTTGAAGACTTTTGTAAGTGCATGGACATGTCCATTAGAGAGGCGAAAGCTATCTATGGTATCAGACAAACCGATTATTTCACATCCACCGTCTTCTAAAGCATTAAAATCTAAAAGGGTTTCAATAATGCCCGCTGCTCGACTGATAAAGCTGGTGAAGATATCCTGAGCACACATCTCCGTCAACGCAGCAATTGATGGAAGGTAAAGAACCTGGGTATCACAGTTTGGAGTCCGGGTACCAGCATCGTTGAGCGTTTTAGACTGCTGGATATATAGTGGCACAGATAGAATCGGTGGATGTTTTGCATCGCCTGGGGATGCGCTGCACTTTGGATCATAATACCCCCACACGCTATATTTGTCCCTGAGGGAACTCGAGACCCATGCCACCAGGTCCAACTCAGCTCTTTCTATATCTTGGGGTGAATTTACGAAAGTAAAAGATTTGTCAAGATGCCATGGCCTGCATTTAGATCCTTTGCGTATCGACCAAACCCACAGACCAAGAATGGGCTTCTAGCGTAGACGGATCTGTGAACCAGCCATAGCGCATACGTCGGAGGGTGATATGTATCGGTCGAACCCCTTCATCGGGATTTTCAGTAGCAACACCGACTCTCCAAAATATCGCAGAAATATCATCCCAGCCACTTTTCAGTTTGATATCCCCGGAGAAAATTACTTCTGCTGCATTTTCAAGGGCGTTTTGTAAACGTCCTGCACATTCCTGAACTTCTGCATGCCAATCTTGGGACAGATTGGGTATCGTGTGATCAGCTAGGCGGGAAAGTCGGGCCCTGTAATACATAATCCTCGCAGCAACGTGTGGATGTCCAAGGTCTTGCAAATCATCCGACTCAAGCTCGGATATCCAGGCCGTGGTTAAAGACACACTATCCGATTGGACACCGTAAAATCCTTCAATTTGGAGCTTGTCTTTGCCAGGGTCATCGTTAGAGCACTGGGGAACGTTTGGTTGAACTTCCCACGTATCCTCTATGGACCGCTGAGGATTATTTCCCGATTCAATCATATGCGCAAACCAATCCAATTCGTATCCGTCGAGGCAAATGTTGAGGTCCCGCAATTCGTTTTTCCCCTCCCCTAAGCGTCGAGACCGGAGAGCTGCTCGGACTATGGCCATAACCACTGTAATTCCAAGTTGAAACAATGAGACGAACGAGTGAAGGCCTCGCAAACCGACAAACTGAAGAATAAAACCAACCAATGCGCTCCCGACAGCAATCCATACGAGCTGCTCCCGAATTTTGGAAATGGGCCCCTCAATTTTCCACGAAGTCACATATTCGTCCAAATTTGCCGAATGGGCGAATGCATCGAAAACTTGATCGCCGATACGCTGACTGCCCTGCAGCCAGAACATCTGGACTTTTCCCTTAAAAAAACGTTCTGCGGTGGTGGTTTCAATAAGCCAAGCACATAAAAACATGCCTATAATCAGCAACAGGGTCCCGATAGAGGTTATAGGAAAAGCCCAAGTAGGTATAGGCCGCTCGTCTTTCTTAATTTTGGCATAGTAAGTTACCCAAACAGCGAATACAAGCACTGCAGCCTGTAGTACACATCCGGTAAATGCTGCCGTCAGAAGCCAGAGCCTGGATGGCTTTTTGATGCCCAGATTTAGGGACAGATTCGGGTTAGGTGCGAAGCCGGTAGTTTGACGCTCGTCAGCGACAAGGCGCTCACGAAAGCCTAACGTCCCGTCGGGTTTGCCATCGTCTTCGATATCATTTTGTTGGAAATATTCGCTCGAGCGGAAAATGTGAGCACTTGGAGGGTCACTCTCGTCGTAAAACTTTCCCCTGTTTCGGTCATACACAATCTCGAGAATCTTCGGCTTGCCAAAAACGCGAGCAATTCCGCCACGCTGCCAGAGTTCGCACACATCATTGCTAGTGGAGGAGCAAAGCTCCACCTCTGCTGTTCCTTGACCCTCCTGTGCCCTTCCGATGAACGCCCTGAGTGATGGGCTGCCGCAAACGCGGATCACGGATACCACAGCGGTCAAGATCCCTAGGGGGGCAACAGCGAAGATAATGAGGTCGAGAATAGACGTCGATTCACTCAGAAACTGCTTAGTCACTTGCTCTCCGAAAAGTGCCAACAGAGGTGTCAAGTCCGTCGCAAAATTGTTGTAGAAATCATCCCATGCATCAGCTGCCAGAACCGGTGATGCGAAGACGACGCATACTAGGATGGATATCATCTTTGGCATGCAGTGTCCTTGAGCGCAACTCTCTCGCTTGCCAACCCCATGTCAGCCTAAAATCAAAATCGCAGACGGCTGGCGAACTGCTTTCATTTGCAGCTAGGCATGAACGCGCCGCGCTAACTTTCGAGTCCAGCCGCACCACAATGAACAGGATGTTTTATGGGCCTCTCAGGGCCAAGCTGGAGGGGCCGAAGCAATGGCCAGTCGCATCTCGGACTGATCCCCAGCTCTTTCAGGGATCTGAGGCCGGGGTGGTTTCATTGCATGCTCAGTGGCCCAGCCTCATCTATCATGCAGGTTGATGTTTGCACTGTTTGCTAAAACGAGGATTTGCTGCCTCTTGATTCACACGGCTCATCACTCGATAATAGCCAGTATGCAAAGGCTGAAGTGGTGTCCTAGACCGGAGAAGGAACCGCCGCCAGTGCTAAATGGATCAAGTCCAAATCACCACAACATGGTTGGTATTCAACAAAATCTCATACAGTACACACAAATCCGAACATGCAAATAAACCATCCCGTGAGTATTGATTGAAAACAAAAGCCATAAATCAACTGTGCCCTGAGAAATACAAAATAACTTCAATGCTATCTTAAACCAAAATCTTCATTACTGTTGCTTCTTCGCTGCTGCTGCCGCTGCTGGGCCGTTCATCTTGTCAAAAGCAGCGTAGGATACTTTGACGCTGGCAATCCCAGATATAGCAATGTAGAGGAGCACAAGGAAGAATAGGACTACCATAAGACCCATGAATATACCTAAAGAATAGTTGTTAGATTTAGTAAAAGGGGGTAATGGTTTTTCCTGCAACAACTCACCAGGGCTTAAAAACTGGTATTTCTCAAATAGAGGCTGGCTGGTAAACTCAGTATTATTCGAAAAGGTAGATTCGCGCTTTGACTGGAGGTGAAGGGGGTCCTGGGTTGTCAGATAGTCGGAATCGGCTCCACTATATGTCCTTGCCGTAGTCGCGTAAACGACAGTGTACTTTGGCGCAGGGAGATGATCGATGACGGTAGCAAGGAATAAATCTAAAAAATGGTTAGCCCAATCAAAAGCAACCAGCTTTGAGCAGATAGGCCAACCATAATCGACAAGTGTCTCTGCACGTTTCGGGTCTACAGGGAGCTCTGGAAAGTCCAATGTAATGATTTGAGGTCGGTCGCGGCGCGTCAAAGGTGGAAAGGAGTTGCCTATTCCCATCAGCATAACTCGCACAGGTGTTTCCATAATAATTCCTTGAACTTTTGGTCACTCACTGCCTGCGTTCAAAGCTATCGAATCGGCTCCGCAGCTCGCCTCAAGCCTGGACACCAACTCCGTTGTATCTATACTACCAACAACTTCGCTGACCATAAAACTGGACTTCACATCGTTATCCAGCTTCAAGACCTTCTCCCGTAATCGTGGGGCGGCCTTCCGCGAGCTATAATCGAGCACATGGACGCCTGGTTGGGGAAACGATAATATAGAAATCCGACGGGCAAGAGAGGAGCTTATTATATATGTCATGCGTAATTGCCTCCGCGGATTCAATTTGTTTGGGGGTTGTCTCGAAGCTATACGGATAATGCGGTGAGCGTGGAATGTCGGGAACGGTCATTCATAGAAGCGGATCAGGGCAAGACCTACTCATGAGTTGAGAAGAAGAAGAAAGGTGACGTGTTTCTGAAAGCATCAATACCAGCCGCCAGCCCTAGGGCCAGCAGCCCAGAGGTTGTGAGTCTCATATCTGGAGCTGTTGGTCTGTGAAATGCCACGAATCGCCCTCCAACAACGGCATTGGAACGCAGCTCCAAAGTTGAAGCTGCGGATTGCAGTGAGGTCAGAAGGCTTGGCGGAAGGTTGGCGCCGGGATTATGTAAGACATAGATTGTCGTCCAGCAGCTATCAATCTCGGCTCTCTCAACTCCTTGAAAAAAAAGAATGTCATGAACTGGTATCGAGATGCGCGTATATTCTCAATACGAGGAAGGCAAAGCAACTGGGTCTAATCCGCGTTTTGTTCAATGGCTCAAAAGACGTGAAAAGCCCGCAGCGATTCAATCTCAATCCCCCCGCAAATGTCCTGGTAGCCTATGAAATAATCAGAGGAGAGAAATGAAACCAGATACTTGGAGTTTGGAGCTATGAAGAAGTTGCGTTTTGCCCAAGGATTGACTTGAAAGCCGTTGAGAGTGGCGAGATTGAGGAATGGGAGGTTCAGACGTCGGGCTGTCAGCGAATCGAGATTTCTTTTTGAACAGGCTGATCAAAGGGTGATCAATTTGTGACTAGGCATCACTATCATCCAGAATCGCAGATCAAGGCGCTTAAAGACCTGACCTTCACCTTCTCACCCTCTGCGATTGGAATCAGGGATTATTTTTCTGGTTGAACTTACTCGCTTCTAGAGTAAATACGTTGGTGATATGCTGAAACTATGGGCTGGGAGGGATTCAGATTGGGTACCAGACTTTGGGCGGATCCAAAGCCATTACTCGGATACAGTATAGTGGGAATTAGGCGAGATCACCACTGAACGAGAGATCGATTCGTATGATCCTGTCCTCAAGAGACCTGTCTCTGAAGCATGTGCGACGTGCATTGCAACCCAGGTTGAAGGGCCGAATCCCGGCTTGCAAGGGATCGCAAAGATATGGGCACAGTGCGTAAAGCAACTCATAAATTCACACCATAATGCGATTGCTGACATTCCTTCTCAGAATTCCAACTCCAGAAGTTAGGCGTACAAAAAGTGCCCCCAAGAGCTATGTTTGCGATGTTGAGATGGCGAATCTCCGTAAGCTCGCCGAGTTGGGTTGTACCTGCACGCCAAAGGTCCTGGATACTTCGTTTTATGTCCAACATGAACAGGACCCAGTTCCTGGGGGATTTGCAGCTATTTGCGTGTTAGAGAAGCTACCAGGGCACGATCTAAGCAACTTTGGGGATTTGCCCATGTCTGAACGAGATCAAGTTCGGCTAGCCTTTGCAAAATCGATCCGGTAATTAATCGTTACCTCGTTGCTTCTTGGCTTTCGCTGAGTGATACTGTTGCTAACTGCGTTACCCCTTTTAGCGAATTTTACTCCTTTGGCTTTGAACATAGAGATGAAGCTCGTCGCAATTTGATTTGGGACCGTGTGAATCAAAAATGGTATGTTTGGCCTGTCAAACCCGCTATATTGATCCCAGGACGGCCACAACTGATGCCACGTAGTTACATTATCGATCTCGAAGATGCATACCAAATCGAAAACCCTGATGAATACAAGAAATTCATCCCAGAGTTGCATTGGCGGTCCTGGCAAATAGCTGGGCCGGGCAAAAATTGCAGCCTTTATGGGTGGGATCCAATGGTCCCCTATGGCCAGCCATATATCAAGGACCCCAGCGATGAGATGCTGGAGAAGATGGCGATCGAAGCGGCAGGTAAGGAAGTTCACTTCCCGAGGCGCGATCCTTGGCGCGTAGTGAAAGTGTCTTGTGCATGAGGGACATTGATTTTAGATGGCGATTTTTAATACGGAAAGCCATATTATCTTCTTCCATTTGAGGTCTCAAGCTTCACTGGCGACATCTTGTATGTGTTGCGCTGTCGATTCCATTGATTGTTACAGATCGGAATCCTGCCTACGCCAATTTGTCTATAGCATGCCGTCAAGAGCCATCGTTCCACATAACTAAGATTCAGGATATAGGCAAGGAATTTCCGTCCGCACTTTTCACTCTGGGTCTCCAAAGGATGTTTGTCGTATGTGCTGTACGTACATGCAAACAATCATGGGGCATTGCGGGCCCTTGAGCATCCCGTCCAACATAAAGTGCGGACACCAAGTGAATTACCTTCATAGGTCCATGCGCCCTTGGGGACGATCTATTTAGGGTGTCTATCCACATTGTAGAAGGGCCCTGTCATACTCTGCGCCTGGAACTGTTCTATAAAGAAGTTTTTATTGATGCTTCACTACAAATTCGACTCGTCAACAGCAATCGTAGCCTTCTTCTGGGAACTTTGCTATGTTCTTGTCAAGACCAGATCTAAGTTTCATGGAGTGCTGTTCGGCTCGAAAATGTTTGAATCTTACCTCAAAGCTTTGGACAAAGATTCTGACATTAAATAACAAGCTGTTTCAAGAGGAGGATTGAAATTAATAAAAAAAAGAATTTATTCAAAGAAAATGGTTGTGAGACAAGCTTTGCTCCACCGTAGTTAGTTCGGAGAACTGCTGACACCACTTTTACTACAGAGACTAGTTAAACTCGTTCCTATCTCACTCAAGACATGGTCAAAAAATATACATTCTCAACACGCAGAACAATCGCTCGCCTGTCAAACGACAAGATGGCACCGCCTCCCAAACGCCGTAAACTGGCAGTTGCTCCAGTCGCAGAGATTGTCTTCGACAATGACGCCCGCCACGACTACCTCACCGGCTTCCACAAGCGCAAAGTGCAGCGCGCCAAACATGCGCAAGAGGTCGCGGAGAAGAGGGCGAAAGAGGAGCGGCGAGAGCACCGCCGAAAGGTTCGCGCCCCCGTTTATTGGAAATTCTTCTTTTTTTCTTTATCCAGAGCTCCATGTCCTAATGACTTTTGTCTGCCTGGTTTAGATGCGAGAGGAACGACAGGCGGAATTGCAGAGAGCGCTCGAGCAGAATCGCATACAAATGGCAGAGTTGAACGGTGCGTCAGACGGTGAGGAGGGAAGTAATCCGGACCAGGAGAGTGATGAACAATGGGAAGGGTTTGCGGATCCGGCGCCGGTGGATTATGAGGCGGAATATATCGACGAAAATAAATATACTACTGTCACCGTGGAGGATATGGATCCTTCAAAGGAAGGGCTATACAAAGCTGCGGAGGAGAATGAAGAAGATGACGAAAAAGATACGCCCAAAGCCACCAGCACTGCGCCCAACCCACCGGAGAAGCGGAAGTCAACAAAGGCCGACCACAACCAGGCGAAGAAGAAAAAGAAAAAGAAGTTCCGATATGAAAGCCCCGCTGAAAGGAAGGTTACGAGAATGAAGGAGCGAATGGGCAATCGAAAGCAGGCAAAAGCTCGGCGAGCAACTTGATATATTCGGCTCTAGAATTAAGTACACAGTAGCTGGGGCGATCTGGCATCATGGAAACAGGCAGAACTTCGACTGGCTCCAATGCCTCTCAAGCTTAAAGTGGATTTCCCGCTGGCTGAGCGACGCTAAGAGTATAGGATAAACGGACACAGTATAGCGGAATACAGCGATAAAAGGTGTCATTGGGAGATGTAAAATATCCGAGAAGCTCTTAAGACGCACATTTCGGCAGCTTCGCAGAACGTTTGGAGGGAATGAACAAGTCCCTTGAACTTAAAGGCTGTTGAGGGTATTCCCCAAGTCCTCCATCTCTTGCTGGAGGTCCTTGTACTTCTTCGATACCTCATCGTGCTTGGCCTCCCACTCCTTGGCTTGTGCTTCAGCGGATTTCGCCTGGCGTTCGTAGTGCTCTGCTGTAAGCTCCGCTTCCTGACGACTATTTCGAGATCGAGTTAGCCACAAAGAACGTTGTTGCCGATGAAGAAAGCAACTAGATAGTGGACAATACCTCTTGTTCGCCAGCTTAGCAGCGGCGTACGTCTCGTCCAATTCGTTTTGTAACAGCTCGACACGACCTTCGAGAGATTTCAGTGTTGCGTTGTCTTGGGCCCCGGCATCAACAGCATCCTTGGCCTCTCGCAGCTGATCACGGATTCTCTCGATGTCTTTTTCAAGGAGTTCTTTACCCTGGGAAAGCTCTGTGACCTGCCGTTCCTGCTCTCGGTTCTGGTCTTTGAGGGTCTTGATTTCTTCTTTCAGTTGCGTCAGGGTCTCCTGAAGGGCTTCATTCTCTTGCTGGAGTGCTTTATGTTTCTAAAGGTAGAAGAAATTAGCTTTGCCGGAGTACTGCTAGATTCGCGAAAGAATGGCTCTGCTGCTTGTTGGAGTGCCATTGCCTTCCCTGCTGGTAACCCCGCGACCAGAGTGTAAACATACCGCTAGGAACTGAGCTCCCATTCCCGACATCTTGAAGGACTTGGCTGAATGTAAACAACAAGCTCGAAATGGAGATAGAAACGATAGAATACGATATATTGACAAAGGGGCTGGAGGTTGTGAGCTGGATCGGTCGAGGGGTATAATGGAATAGGGAGCAGCTACAAGTAATGACAGACGCTATTTATGGAGTTCGTCCTTGGTGTTGGGCAACAAGAGCGTTCTTCTGATTGGGGGGAGCAACAGGGGCTCCTGGCATGGCACGTGATACAGCCCACCCTCCCGAAACCGCGCTTGACCGAATTTGGACGGTTACGTAACTAGCTAGTGCTGGATCGGCGTAATGATCTTGCGAATTCCGGGCTGTTTTGATGGATGCCCTATCTGACTAGGTTGGCTCTCCGGCTCAATAAACTACAAGTACTCCATCTGCCAACGCGTTTTCCACTTCCAACCGTCTCATATCCTCCGTTCTTCAATTAGAAACATCGCTCTCGGTGCTTATCACACAGGCACGGGCGTGGACATTTTTTGTCGAATATTCCTTTGCATGTGTGTTGCGCGCAGATAACCCATCCCCGTTTGCTAGTCGGGCTGAATCCAACATCGATCTTAGTAACGGAAGCAGTAGTTCCACTTGGAAGCGCGGCCACGAAGGAGAGAACCCCAAATAGGGCAGTCGAAAGGAGAGAAAATTTCATGTTCAAATCGGGTTTGATATATCGAATTGTGGTTCAGATGCAGAATGCAAACTGGGTTGAGATATCCTAGTGAAAAAGGCTGCTAAGTCAAAGGCCCTAGTGGTATGAACTTTGGAGATAACTCACAGCAAAGTCAAGCTGTTGCACTCAAAGTGGAGATGAGAGCTTGAGACATCAGAATTGGCGTTGCAAAAAGATAAAATGCTAGTTGCAAATGAGCTTGGGAATTTATATCAAATTACTGCTCATTTCAAGATATAGATAGCACCATGCGTCAATAAACACAGTTTCAAACCATGCCGCCGCAGAAATGAAGTAGTGCCATCCCATGTACGTGTGAATTGATTGTGGGGATAAACCAGAGCCAGTGCTTCCTGGTGAAATGCTTTGAATTCAAAGATTTGTCCGGCAGCATCATGCAAGAAAACAATGGAGTAACAGTAATCTTCTAGATTACATGTTTCACAGCTGCCCTCAGGATATGGCCAAAAGCTTGTGATTAGTTCTCAAGTTCAAAATGTGTGATATATAAAACAGTTGTGAAGATCGAGACGAGTATGGGGTATGTTCAGTAGTATATCTTGGGATTCTCTACTTTTCAGGCAAAAGAAAAAAGAGACCTTTACAGCTTGCATATTATCAAGCATTTGTGAATTTCAGATGCTGTATCTTTATCCCAACAATGCGGTAACTTGTTTGGGAGAGCTGCTCATAACATAGAGAGATAACAATAGTTTAAATGGAGTCAATCGGCTCATGCAAGATTTCTTTACATCATCTAGAGAGTAGGTAGGGTCCTACTCTGTACTGGGTGTGTAGTGCGGAGCGGTTCAAGCCGCCATCTGCAGTACACCTAGGTAAATGACAGGGCTAAATAAGCTATAGCATGATGCTATTTGTGTCACAAAAGTGTTTAAGCCGGCCTTCTTTCACTGCAAGAATGCAGTTTGAAATGCTGTTGTCCCACGGATGATGTTGGTGCAACCCCTGAGTCTCGTTCATCGATAATAGACCTCCTGCCGCCCTAACACAGCTTAGTAAGCCCCAATATCGCATTGAAGCGTTGTCTCCAAAATCTGCCATACTCAATTACAACGGCCTTTTAGCATTTCTAGATTGGACGTCTGTTATCTCGGGGAGGATCACAGGTACAGCTATCGCGCTGCTTCAAACCGTCTAGCTCTGAGTGCTGTCCCGCGAAATTGTCACGGCCCGGCCAGCAACTCCGCCTCATGGCCCTTCGTTCTCCCGCAATCCGAAACCTGCTTGGCCCTCATACCTCGATATCGCCTCTAAGACAGTTCCAGAGGCGCTGGGCCCAAGTTCACGATGTGCGGTTCGTTGCAACTCACCAATTGAACAATGTGGTAGAGCGATACAAGGATAAGCTCAGTCAGAAGGCCAAACAGTGGGTTCCTCATCGAGTTTATTGTCTTTTAAGGAAAAGAAGCTAAATAGATTGCTTAGAGAAGGTCATTCGTCTATAGCCTCTTTGAAAGAAGCTTACCAGGACAAAATCCAATCTGTCCGTGCTGCCGACGCTGTCGAAACACCCCATCCCGAACCGCTCTCAACATCTTCCCAATCAAATCCGGGGAACCCTCGGCCTGCATCCTCCTCTTCTACGTCTCAGCCGGAATCGCACCATGCCAGTTCTCCCCCTAAATCTTCTGCGCCAGGCATAAAACCACTTTCAGCATATCTCGACATCCCCAAGATTCTCACCCTCCCGCAGAAGGAAATTGAAACTCTCTGGCGTCTCAGGCACGCACCAAATCCAAACTCAGTATGCGCTACCATCCCCCTCGAAACATACAACCGGCTCGTTAGCACGGCGCGTCAGAATCCCCAATTCATTTTACCTCTACCCCGGGAAATCGAGACGCCCGCAAGCGACGGCGAACGCTCCGCGGACAACCCTCCCACTAAATCTTCCATAGCTGCAGAAATACATTTTCTTCAATGGGGATTCCATCCACCCTCGTCGACTCCAACGAGCCCACCCACATCTCCAGATTTTAGAACACAAAATACGCACACCTCGACCGTCATCTTCACACATCTAGGCGCCTACAAGCTCCACGGGGCTTACGCACAACCTCACACCATAATAACGCACCATCTAGACTTGGCTGACGAAAAGGGACTGGTCCTCATGAACGGTACCGTGGTGCCAGACAAGGGCGTGAGTCTCGACGAGGCGAAATTGTTGATTATGTGGTTACAAAGGTTTTATGATTGGGGAGTGGATGGGAGTGAAGGGGGTAAGAAGGGAGAAATGTTGAGAATGTTCAGCCGAGGAGATGTAGCGGGATTCAAAGTGGAGGATTTGGTAGAAGAGGTGGAAAGAATCTAGATGATATAGTGACAGCTCTCTGTATATACTTGGCTTTGGGCAATAGTTGGCGTGTACTATATACCGAAATTACGGCTGGGAAATCATTGAAAAGTGAATAGATATTGAATCGTTTTAAGTAGCTTTATTGATCCATTAAGAGCTGCTCTGTACTCTCAGCAAAAGAAAAGGAGTATCCGTAATGCGCCCTTGTATCCGATTCTGCGCGTATTTGTCATCAGAAAGAATTACTAGGGTCTAATGCAGAAGAAAGCAACGCACATAAAAGGATAAAACTGTGGTAGTAATATAAGAATCCAAACCTCAAGTTGAACTAGAGCCCGGATGCTGATGTCATGGGACATCCCAGAAGCCATGAGAAGAGCCGAAAGCCTTCTCAGAAACAAAATAAACCCAGACCCCAATTGAAAGGAAAAAGGCCCCAATGCAGTCCCAGTACATAGCATCATCCGGTCATCTCAAAGCGAAAAAGGAATTATTAAAGGTATAATGAGGCTGCCTCCACTTAGCAAAAGAACAGTGTATAGTGTCTACAACTGGCTGCAACGAGAATAAACCTTGAGGGAAGGTTTAATCCAAAACCTCATCAACGATGAATGAGTGAATATGTTCAAAGTACCCTGGCTCCGCGACGGTGTCGTTATGCGAGCCATTCGGGAAGGTTCGCCAGATCTTGGTCTCAGCCTTGCATAGCTTGTAAAGCTCAAACATATGGGTAGAGCTACAAGTCAAACGTGTAAGTTTTGGTGCTAATGGGCTTTAAAGAGGAGAGCTGGGACATACGGAATAATTTCGTCTTTCAATCCGCTCAAGAAGAGGATTGGGATGCCTTTTATTTTAGGTAATATATCCTCACTGGACCATTGCTGGTGGCATAATCGTGTCATATATTTCGCAGCAGGAAACACACTATTCAGAGTAAGTGGCATTCCTACCATACGGACACTCCGGAAAGAGACAAAAATTACCTTGGGATCAATTTCCTGATACTCAGAAATGTGTTCTCCAGAATGAGCCCCGCGATATCACCATGATGCTGATTCTTTGCAACAAGACTGATCGCTACGGCTCCGCCGAGACTTTGCCCGTAGACTATTATCTTCGTCTCCCGCGTCTCCGGTAACTGTCTTAAATAATCCAGACCCGTCTGAGCATCAATTTTTAGGCCATTCTCGTCCGGAGTTCCAGTCGACAACCCATAACCACGGTATTCCAGCATCAGAATATTGCAATTTAGCAATTGCCCTATAACCTCCGCAATGGGGTTGCGATGGCCAATATTCCCAGCATTTCCGTGGAAAACAAGTACGGTGAGTTTCGGCTTGACTTCTTTGTTTGTGGGGCGGATGAAGAACGCAGAGAGAGTCTCGCCGTCCGGAGTAGGGATGCGAAGGTCTTCGTAGTCAGTCATGCCAAATTCGGAGGGCTTAGGGACTTCTGTTCGGGAGCCGACAGGGAAGTTGCGGGGGTAGATGATATCACTAAGGCGCGATGTGTTAGCCCAACACGAGAACAGGGCAGATGGGAATAAACGCAGTTACTTTTGCTTAAAGTAGAGCATCCCGCTCGCAACCACTGCCAGCCCAGAGGACGCAAGTACCGGTAGTCTGAGAAACTGGACGACATTCCCAGCCATAGAGCTGAAATTCCAGGAGGAAGGCGGTTGTGGCGGCGGAGTGTTTGCCATTGTGCGCGAGCACACTGAGTGTAATATCCTTGATAGGTTTCGATTTCTGATAGATGTCTAAATAACAAGATATCGCATGGTACAGGGGTAGATTATATTGTTTTCGGCGCGAGTGCGGAGTAGGCAACCTCTTAAAGGAGCAACAACAAGGCAGTTAGGAGGCGTCGCGTGAATGTCATCTGGCTAATACGGTTCAAAGAGAGGAGACTATGGGGAGTAGTCACACAACCTGTGAGAAATGGCAGAGTTATGAATGTGTTTGGTGAAAGCAAGCCCCCTTTAACGGCGAGTCCCCTTGTTTGATCCTCTGAAGCGCCGTATCAAACCCCATGTTTACGCCATTACCAGCGTCAAGAGTGGATCTCGTACGGGGATTACGCATAAATTACCGGTATTACGTCAGGCGAATGATTCAAGCGCGACCAAGCGCGTTGGCCAATCACAACCAGATATGCGCCTAAATGTACAAACGCCCTTGGACTATTCCCGATTGGGCGAGCCACGTCTGGTGTGCTGCCTCCCAAGCTGGAGCTCCAGATACCTTGATTATCAACGGCGATTGACCTTGGCCTTGCTTGAAAGCACTTTGAATATCTGTTTATAAAAGCCATAGAGCTCCGATATAGCTTGATTTTGCAGCTCCCTTTACGAAAACATGAGACATCACGGCGTTCGCGGTTGTTTGGGAGAAGGTCCGTGGTACAGACACAGCTGATATCACAGCAGCTTGCTAACCCCCCTACTACAGATGGAATACATGTGGATATGGAACATCTTAAGAAGGGAGAAGTAAAGTAGGTACTCGTTCTATCAGCTCAACGAGCGCGATCGCTAATCACTCGGCCGTGTGCAGCCTTGGTACCTCCATGTAAGCCCCAACTAAACACCGCCTATTAAAGCCGAGAAGAGATACCAACACACTACCTTCCCAACAGCATGGCCATAAACTTCAAAGATGGCGTCATTCTCGGCGCCGACAGTCGAACAACCACAGGCGCCTACATCGCCAACCGCGTGACCGACAAACTCACCCAAGTTCACGACACAATCTGGTGCTGCCGATCCGGCTCAGCAGCTGATACACAAGCCGTAGCCGATATCGTTCGGTACCATCTAGGCATGTACGGCGTTGTATATGACCAGCCTCCCACGACTCAAACAGCCGCGGCCCTGTTCCAGGAGTTATGTTATGATAACAAGGACATGTTGAGGTACAGCTGCCAAAATCGCAATATCCTCTCTTCTTCTTTTGGGCCGTTGTGTTGACCTTCAAATAGTGCCGGGATTATCATCGCTGGCTACGACCACCGCCACGGCGGGCAAGTCTACTCCATCCCACTCGGCGGCTCCCTCCACAAACAGGCTTATGCAATTGGCGGATCCGGCTCGACGTATATCTATGGCTACTGCGATGCACACTGGCGAGAAGGCATGTCGGAAGCAGAGGGCGTAGAGTTTGTTAAGGGAGCATTGCAAGAAGCTATCAAATGGGACGGAAGTTCTGGTGGCGTTATTCGATTGGTGGTACTGACTGCAAAGGGTGCAGTGAGACATTTATACCTACCCGATACTGGATATCAAGGGCCCGGGACGGACTAAATGCGCTGAAACTGCTGGTTTGCTTTGGGTGTTTTTAATGGATCTATCTTCTAGCAGGTTTCAGTTCAATTCCATAATGCCCTGATGCTTGAATAGTTTAACGGCCGGAGCCGTTCCCGGTACCCAAGATCATTCATCTCGGCGCTTATATCTTCCTCCCACATATTGGCCAGTGAAATAACTACGTTCCATCTTTATTCGCGCTTTGCCAAGCCCCGAATCTAACAACCTCCACTTCGAGGGTTTCTGCGTCCAGCAACACTAACTCGCCAGTCTCACTAAATTTAGGGAGGGTCAAAAGCCTCACTTTTACAGCCTGCTCTTCATCTACATCCGATATCGTAGAACCCGATCTTTCGATGAGCGTAGTCCTAAATGTAGGCTGATTCCCCGCGAAGAATACATGTGGGCATGCCTGTAAGACGAATGGATCGATATCCTGGAACGGATAGCTCCCTGGGAACGGGAACTGTTAGAGTAGGTCTATGGAAGAGACGGTCTTTATAACAAGCTTACATATCGTGTCCGGTGCAGTGGGGACCGCACATCTCCACCGCAACATGGCTTCCATCAACCGTAACCGCGTGTCGCCCTCGGGATCTCGCGAAGTTTCAATTTCATCATCGTCAAGAGAGATGTATTTCAGCACGTCGTCGACGTTTTGTCCACTACAGCCCCACAATCTCCACCCTTCAACATCCCCCTGCCACGGATTCGTGACGGTATCAAGCCATCCGGGTTCTGATTGCACCTCTTCGAGACTTGAGCGAGGGGGCGAGCAGTAGTTTCTAGACCGCGGGAACATGGCGCGGTGAATTGCTTGCTGGGGTAGAGCGAAATTTGCAGGATCAGTTTCACCAGGCATCAGGGTGACGGGTATGCTGGGAAGAATCTCGGCGAGAAAATTGTCAAGGTGAGTTATTGGCGATGCATTGTACGCTGATGCGTCATATCCGTATTTCTTGGTCTGCCGCTTCTTTTTCACTGCCTCATTTGCATCCTGTTCTTCAAGATTCAAAGACACATCGCGTCCAAGGGAGTTACCGACTATTATGAGGCGGGATATTTGGGTCGAGTTAGTCGGAATGGAGCCACCCTCGGCGAAACCAAGGAGATAATCAGCCAGCAGCGACAAGGCCACAGTATCTCCTGAAGTGCCAGTGATTCCGAGCCCACTGACAAATGCGATCTTCTTCCTTGGTCCGTCATCAGCAGTATCTAATAGGCTCCGTTTCCTCTTCCCAGATCCTGAATCCGTGCTGTCGCGTTCCCATCTGGTAGGCTGGGGCGGTAGATCGGGCACCTTGACATCTATCACCTCGAAATCACCATTGGCGTTTTCGGTCCCAAGTACAGCTACAACGGCGCCAGTCACCAGTAAAGCAGACTGAAGTAGAGTACCAGTGAGTCGGAGCCGGCCCGATTCGTCTTCCAGCATAGTTTGTGCGCTTTCTTGGTTAGAGGTATCTAAATACGTTTTTCGCCGAGGCGGGGCGGCTGTCCAGTGCTGCAAGAAACATGTATTAGTCGAAAAGCGGAAGTAGAGGTTATGATTGCGCTATCACCTCTTTAGAAATATCATCCAGAATATTTGGTTTCAGAGGCAGGTCCATATATACGGTTCCCACGACCCAGCAAAGTTGGCCCTGCCTCACATCCAGTACGCGGTCAACCCTTCGGGCATTTTCCCCGGCAATCTACGTCATACAACATATCAGCAACTCTCCACATAGGCGATATTCTATCCATCCAGACCACAGTGGAAAGCAAAGGGAGTACAAACTGTAAACCCCTCCCATTCAGCAGCCGCAATTTGCGACACAACAGGCTTGAGCCTTGCCAGCCGTAAAAAGTACATGTCCGCATACTGCTGCTGGTAATTCCTCGTTTCACCGGGGGCCAGATGGAAGGTGGAAAGGGGGTTATAAGCGGACTCTTGTCGGAACCGCGGGGGGTAATCTTCTTTGTCCCTATCCACTTGGTCAGGCTCAGCTTAGCAGGAGGAGAATCAATGTTTTCCATACCTTGGGGGACACAGAAACTGTTCCTCTTCATCTGCCATTACGGTGGTCGTCTCCAATTGCTCAAGATCCTCGCCGTCGCTGCTCTCCAGCTCGCTTTCCAGCGCGCGAAAGTCAATTGACGCGTTTAGGGTTTAGCGCGGCTTAAGATACGCTAACCTGTTAGGCAAGGGCACTTTTAATGCTTAGTCATTATTTGGTCTCCAAACAAACCAGACAAACAGCAATAGGAGAATGCTCTTGCGGCCAGTATCTAGCAGTTAACTACATCGCAATCGACGTGGAAGTGATGCCTTCAGTTAAAAGGCCATAAAATAATCTGCATTCAGACAAATCCACGTATTGAAGAAAAGCACACTTGTTAGAGACATATATACAGACCAACTCTTCAATCAGAGGAGGTATCTAAAAGTGCGTTCCATCTCCCAATCTGTCTTATCCTCAAGACTAGCTAGGAGGTCATCCTCGCTGTTGGCGTTGTTTTCCTGCTCCCCGACTTTGCCATAGACCCTGTCGCGTCGTATATTCTCCCACCTCATATAAACCCCCAATATGAGTAAAAAGAAAGCACCCAAGGCGAAGCCCGAGAGACTAGCTTTCAGCCCCCGTCCATACCGTGGCGCCTCGTCGACCCGGAAAAACTGGGGTCCAACCACGTTGCCGACACAGTACATCACGAAGATGCAAGCGTTGATAACCGCCTTTTTCGTGAGTCCTCCGACGTTACTCGCGACCAGGGAGAGGCCCAATGGCATGTTGGCTGAAAATGCCATGGTGAGGCAGAATCCGGCCAGTCGTCCCGATCGGTTCCCAGGGTCCAGTGCGTACATCATCACCATCCCCACCAGGCTGATCAAGCACAAGCTCAGCATCACCACGGTTCTAGATCCTTTCCAATACGTGCAGATGAGAGACGAGGCGACGACGAAACCAAGCTGGGCGGCACCGGTAGGCATCTGAATCAACAGGGCAGAAAGGCCCTCGTATCCGAACCCTTGGATGACGAGAGATCCAAACGCTGTCAAACCGCCATTGGCAATGTTCACGCAGAAACAGTATAGAATCAAGCACCAGTTGATAGGGTCTTTGAAAGCTTCGATGGCTTGGTACAATTTATATTTACCCCCTTTGATGCCCTGTTTGTTCTCGAGGACTCGGCAGAGGGCAACTTTCTTCTCGCGAGCAGTAAGCCAGATTGCATTGGACTGACTATCCGGGAGGAAAACAAGCAAAACCACACCCCAGAGGGCGGTGACGGCTCCGAAAATGAAGTACAGGTAGCGCCACGGTGAAAGGGGGCCCGAAATGTGGCCAATCGCGTAGGCAAGGAGACCGCCGAATAGACTGGTTACGCATGAACCGGCAAACCAAATTCCGTGCCGGAGAGGCTGTTCTCTGCGAGTGTACCACATTCCAGTGATCAAGGAGAAGCCAGGAGCCACTGCGGATTCAGTGACCCCGAGCATGAAGCGGGCGACCATAAGACCGGCGAAGTTGTTGCAGGCTGCGTGGCACAGGACGACCGCCGCCCATAGCACTCTTGGATTTCATTATCAGTATATGCTGTCTAGAGGCAAACAGGAGGCACGTACACGGTGACTGAGAGGTACTTTCCAATCGGCATTCTCACGGCAAAGTACGTCGTCGGATACGACCACAGCAGGTAACCAAAGTAGAAAATCGCGGCCGTCCAGGAGTATTCACTCCCCTTGAGCTTTGTATCTTGAAGCATCCCAAGCAAGGTGGAGTAGTTCAGAGACTGCTTGTCCAAGAATTGCAACATGTAGCAGAACGACAGCAAGGGCATGAGAACGAGATCGATCTTCCATCGTACGCGACGGAATTCCTCATCGCTTGCGTCAACGAGGACATCTTGAGTGCCGTCCTGCTTGCCTGTTTCGACTTTGAGTGCAGACTCCGTTTCCTCGACGACGGGGCCCTGGGCGTCTTTTTCTGCCGACATCGTAGACGTGAAAGACTCAGAAAGGATAGAGGGCAAGCAATGCAAAGAAAGTGAACGGTTTAGAGCGTGGTGAAGCAGCCTCGAAGCTCACCAGGTTAAAAGGCTGGAGTGGGAAGCTGATAACACAAACGGAAAACAGACGAAAAGCGATCGTCAGGCCTATTTTATATCAGAGAGACTGTGAACCTTGCCGGCCCCAAGCTCCAAACGATATGGCACTATCTCGCTCCCTCAACCACGCGACGAAGGAGGAGTAACCGTAGCTGCAGCAAGCCGGCCCAAGCAGTAGCTCAATCTCACCCTGGAGATCGGTCCCAAGCGCAAGAGGGAGATTACCAGCGCTCATCCTTGACTAGTCACCACCGCTCTAAAGCTGCCTTTCCAAGAGGCCGGGAAACGCAAAACGGTGGCGGTCGCCATGACTTGGAGAAGCGAAATCCGGGGTATGCAGGGAAAGGATCGGGATGCAGAGACTGAACCGCCTGCGTGTGCGGAGATGTGGCGGCGGAGAAGCGCGCAAATGCTGCTGATTGGGGCGGGCCATAGCGAGAAGCTTATCGTCGAGTTGCCAGACGCGAGACGAAGCGAGGATTTGTGCTGGGGATGTGCAGGTGCCGCGATTTGATGCCGAATATCAGCTGTGAAGGGGAACCGAATCGTAGATCTCAAGACGAGTCCACGCTTCGTCGTTGCTCTCTGATGGCCGGTGTCAAAGCGAGCTGGCTGATGATCAGGTCGAGCTTTGGTGGTGGAGCTTGGGTCTCCACAGTCAGAATCAGATTTTTGACCCGGACTTGGCGTACAGGCACAGCGATCGTATATACTTTTCAGCTGGGGACAAGGTACTCTCACCAGGAGGGTACTGGGACAAGGGTAGAAAACTAGAGGCTCGAGTGTAGCACGGAACACATTCCGGGTTCACACTTTGATATCAACTGGTTGTTTATAGGTTTAAGGAGGCGGAAAAAAGGTCTGACGCCCATACAAACAATGTCGAGACAAAGTCTAGATCATCTACGTGTTTTATCTAGCTCGAAATCCGCCATCACCCGGGCGTAAAATTCATCATTCAGCAGAATATCCAATCCAGTCATGGCCATGGCCTTGCCCCCCTTCACAACCCGTTCATGTGCAACTCTCGTCCCCGCCGCCGCAGTGAATCCGTGAGTGTGGTTATTCGAGCCGTCCTCGACGGGAATGCCAATGAGAGCATGAAGGCCCGGAACAGCATAAGAGATGTTGCCCTGGTCTGTCGACCCAGTCAACCCCTTGGGTTCTGCGGAAAAGATTTTCTCGCCCTGCTCTCCCATGTGAGCCTGGAAGGAGTCGCAGAGAGGCTGGTTGATGCGAAGCTCCGCGTAGATGGGACTCTCCTCGACCTTGATCTTGCACCCCGTGGCAAGCGCACCGGCTTCTAAGCACTTGCGCACCCGCTTTCCAAGCTCCTGCGCACCTTTGATGGTCGGGCTTCGGACTGAGTACTTGGTGACCGTGTGCTCGGGGATGGCGTTGGTGATCTTGGGAGCCTGCAGAATGGTCCCATGTATCCGTTCCTCTGGCCTGATCTGCTGGCGGAGCATGGAAATGTTGTTGTATGCCGATACCACCGCGTCGAGAGCGTTGACGCCCTCATATGGATTGGCGGCAGAATGGGCACTGACACCGTCATAAGTGCACACGATGTCGTAGCAAGCGATCGACCCGGACCCGGAAGAGCCGATGACTCCTTGTTTGCAATAGCTAGCATCTGACATGGGATGTCTTTCAAAGTTGCAATCAGCCAATGGGTCACCCATCTTGAAGCTGGGAGGGCTTACAGCATCAGGGAAACGTCAGCCAGTTTATATGCACCAGCATTAAGCAGCTCGATTTTCCCACCACCATCCTCTTCAGCCGGGGTCCCAAGCAGCTGAGCTCTTCCCTCTATTCCAAACTTCTTGATCGCAAACGCAAGGGCCAGAAATCCTGTGATGCTGGCTGTGGCAATGAGATTATGCCCACAGGCGTGCCCGATTCCCGGAAGGGCGTCATATTCAGCGTTGAAATTGATAAACCGGCCCCCAGAGCCGCTTGTAACCTCAAACGCCGTTGCTAATCCATAGGCCTGACGCGTGGGTTTGAAGCCGAGTTCCTCTAAAAAGTCACAGATCGCATCGTGGGCGTGATATTCTTTGAATGCAAGTTCCGGGTTCTCGTGAATCTGGGAGTTCTCCGTCAGTCTATAGCATAAAATCTTCAAAAGTAGATCTACTCACGCTCTTGTTTAACTTGTATAACCGGTCCGACAGACTAGCAATATACGCATTGACAGCCTCCCGAATCTCGTCTCGAGGAGCCTTGTCTTGAGCGCAGGCAGTCATTCTCGTCGTAAAGTGAGCAATATCCTCAGTAAATGATGGGTGAAACAAAAGCGCATAGCCTTAGTTGTTCGATGGTGAGCCTGGTCATAAGACACTCTCCATTTATAAAGCTCCATCATAGCCCACGACACTGGCGCAGTCCAATTCCGCAGGCGACGGCATGAGGATCTGATCTGCTCCGAGGCCAGAAACACGGTTCAAGCGGCAAACCGCCCGCAGGCGGAGTAAATTGAGCAGAATAGACCACGGGCTTTCAATTCATTACCATCCCTCGATATTCCGAATATGCTTTGATCTCGGAATTCGTCTTCACCCATCACTTGGTCTCGTCGGAAGCACACGACAAGAGACGCACAGCTCCGTCGCAACCTTCCATCTTCCTGGTTCTCAAGTTAGAAAGGGGCGAAGAACCGCTGAGCAGTCTCTCGCGCAATTGTACGCCATTGGTAGCGCGTTTCCCCCGGCTCCCTGTAGAGCCACCGGTGGAGAAGCGCCATCCACGATGAACTCAAAAGCAATATTCCCCCTCGATGAAGCTCTTGGTTCACCCCGCATCGCAGCTCGGGTTGTATCTGCATGGAGGGAATCCAATGTCGCAGCAGTATCTTTTATGCCGAAGGGGTCAGGCGGCACGTTGAGTGTTGGTGGTTTAAAAGGGGTTGCCTATGCCCCGAGAGAGGAGAAACTCAACTCATCTAAAGTGCTAGCAGTTGACTAGATTGCGGTTTTATACTCAATTACTTCGAAAATCTACAAGTACAGTGCTCTGCCACAATGACGGTCCCCGACTGGCAACTCAAGGTCCAGGTCAAGCAGGCCGAAGCCGCTGCGAAGATCCCCAAAGCATGGCTGCTCCCCAGCGGCATCACCAAGGAAATCTCCCAGAACGTCAAGCGGAACGTCATGGACGTGCCGCGAACTTGCGGCCTGCTCACGCCCAAGGAGCTTGAAATCACCGAGAACTACGACGCCACCGAACTCCTGCAGAAACTCGCCGCGCGCGAACTCTCCTCCGTCCAAGTCACGACCGCCTTCGCGAAGCGCGCAGCGATCGCCCAGCAGGTGACGTTCTGCCTGACGGAGACCTTCTTTGATAAAGCGCTGGAGCGCGCGAAAGAGCTCGATGACCATCTGGCTCGGACTGGAAAGACCGTCGGCCCCTTCCACGGCCTCCCCATCAGCTTGAAGGAGACATTCAACATCATCGGCGTCCCGACATCCCTCGGTTTCGTCTCCTTCCTCGACCGCCCCGTGGCGTCTCACAATTCGGCCCTGGTTCAGATCCTCCTCGAAGCAGGCGCCGTTTTGTACTGTAAGACCAACGTTCCCCAGACCATGATGACCGGCGATTCGCACAACAACGTGTTTGGCCGCTGCCTCAACCCTAACAGCTCCAATCTCAGTGCGGGCGGCAGCAGTGGCGGCGAAGGCGCCTTGGTTGCCATGAGAGGCTCTCCTTTGGGTGTTGGAACGGACATCGCTGGCTCAATCCGCATTCCCGCCATCGCCAACGGCACCTATGGCTTCAAGCCATCGATCATGAGAATCCCATACGCCGGACAGGGCTCCGCTAGTCGTCCAGGGCTGACCGGTATTGCTCCCTCAGCCGGCCCATTGACTAACACTGCCAGGGATCTCGAGCTATTGCTCAAGGTTGTGTTCAACTCAAGAGCCGCGGATCTTGACGACATGGCTCTCGGAACTCCGTGGATCGAGCCTGCACAAAAGAAGCCCATCCTCACAATCGGCATCATCCCAGAAGATCCAGAACTCCCACTGCACCCTCCTATGGTGCGTACCTTGAAGCAAGCTATACAGAAGCTGCAAGCCGCTGGCCACAAGATCGTCGACCTGACGGGCAAATTCCCTTCCCTTGCCGGCATGCAGAAAGTGGGAATGAGATATTTCAACATGGACCCCGACAAGACCGTTTTGAAGGCAATCACCAGCAGCGGCGAACCGTTCATCCCATCGCTGAAATGTACATTCGATTTCAACCCAAATACCCCCGAGCCCACCCTTCGTGAGCTCTACGACTTGAACGCCGCCAAGATGAAGTACGCCGCCGAGATACGCGCCGTGTACCTAGACAACAACTTGGACGTCCTGCTTGGACCTGCTTTCCAAAGCTGCGCGGTCTTGCATGACCTCCTAGAGACACCATTCTACACCATCTGGGCCAATCTTTTGAACGTAAGCTGAAAATTCATTGAACCAATTTGACAACTCGCGTTGGGCTAACAGAGCGCCAGTACCCGGCCTCTACCATCCCATTGGGTCGTGCCGACAAGGCTGCCGATGCAGAGTTTGTTAGGCCAGTGAAATATAATCCTCCATGTAAGTTTAGGGGCAGAAAGTTGAACCGAGACGAGGCAGACCGCTAACAAAAGGCCCGTAGACCAGCCAGATGAAATCGAAGGCGCTCCCTGCCACATCCAACTGGCCACAAGGACCATGCAGGACGAAATTCTTCTCCGGCACACTATCACTGTGGACGAGTCGCTCAGAAAGTAGACGTAGTGTGTTGAATCGGGGATTTTCCAATAAGCGTCCCATACGCACGGGTCGCAATATATCACATAGTTTTATAGTTAGGATTTTGAAATATACACTTTCTTTTTAGCGTATATTCCGATCGTGCATTGAATATTACAAAATGATCAAACCAAGTGGAGAAGAACGCGTTTAGCAATCCCCTTCCAGCAGTCGCTGGAGCCCGTTTAGCATCTGATAGCCACGGTCTCGCCCCGACAGTTCATCGGTCGCGGTCCAGACGTTCTCCAGGCGTTTTAGCGCCCAACACCCGATCCCCTCTCGCCCTTTCATAATCAACAAAGATATCGCTTCACGGAAGGGCCTTCGGTCCTGCGACTCGATGGCGATGGACCCAAGGACGGTCATAGGCCATAGGGAATAGTACACGAAGCTCATGGCAATACTCAGAAATGGGGTGATCTTCAATCCCTCTTGTAAGAGAGATTCCATCTGCGGGACGAGGTCCTCGGGTGGTAGTTGGGGATCCATCCTCAGCAGAAGCAATTTGATAGCGAGGACATAAAGCAGTCCGGTCTGGTCGTGGTTCTGGTCTTGCGATTCTTTGCGAATGGATTCTTCCCATCGATTCAGGTCTGTCTGGAGCCGATAGTACAACGTCAATTCGGAATCGCTAAACGGCTGGCTGACGCGGGAAAGTCTCGTAACGTCGGCTGTTAATAAAAAGAATTTATAGGATGCGTCCAGAATAGGCTGTGTGTTTGTCCAGCCTGGTCCCGCGTCATCGGGGTGGTCGGGGTCGATAAAGAACTGCTGGGCGTTGGCGAGGATTTGTGCATCGCCCAGGGGGTCAAATGTTCGGTCGAAGAGCATAAGTAGGGTGCCATGGTAGAAGAAAGACTCGACGCAGGTACGTTCAAATACGAGGACGGACTGGGAAGAGGTTCTGGGCTTGGGGCGCCTGAGCTTCAACAGGTTGCCGGCGGCGATAACGTGGTGGCCCGTCTGCGGGAAGCCTTGGGTTTGGGCATTCTGGTCCTGTCAGCGGAGGTTATAAACGGACAGAGTCCTGATCAACTCACCTCCCAGAGGCATAGTAGAATTGTAGTTGCTAGCAGGCAGTCCTCGCTGCCTTGATACCTGGCCGAAGCAAGCCCTTCCCGCAGGTTCTGGATCGAGAAGTGGTAGCACTTGAGGCCCAAGTGCAGATACGAGTCGTCCCGTCCGCACAGTTGAAGCGCCGTGATTGCAAGCATGGCCCCCATCAACGGCGGGAACTGGACCGCCAGATTCAGGATGTGTGTCTGGTCCGAGTATTTCGCCAGGGATCGCGACCGCACGAGGGTTGGGAGAAACGAGCTGGCAAAGTAGCAGTAGAGATTGAAGTGCTCCTCCAGGTCAAAGGGCGACGGCATCGCAGCAAAGGACGGCAGGAATGCTGGAATGTCGGGCGGCGTAGAGCAAACGGACACCCAGCTGCCCGGCGAGGATCCGGCCTGTGAGTCGACTGTTCCATTGCTGCTGGCGGGCGATGGGCGACGGCGCCGCCTGTCGACAGGCTGGAACTCCGAGGGCCATGTGCAGCTCAGGCCGTTGCGAGAGCAGCCGGCACAGCGCGGTTTCTTCTCATCGCATTTCTTGCGGCGTCGACGGCCTGTCACGGTTACCGGTCAGCACGGTATCACGACAGATGCGGGCGGCTGTTCTCACACTCCAGACACCCTGTTCGCGTTCGAAGTCTTGCCACGGATGCAACGGTCATTTGGCACGTCTCTGGGAGCTATTCTCCATCTCTTCGCGACAAGAGGTCCCGCTGCGATTCAGCAGCAAGTCAGCTATGAGTCTTCGGGTATTCGCACAAGCTGGAGCTTCTTTTGAACTTTGCTAACTGTTGAACTCACTAATAGTTAACTAACTAGCTTCGTAGCCGGATCAATTCCGATCGGCACTTGTTTCGGCGATGGAGACAATCAGATCATATCGACGAGCATGGAAATTGATATTTGATGCTGCAACATGCCCACGGATGGAGCAAACCTGAAGCAGCAAAAACGGCTGGAGCAAGCATCGACGGAGATCCCAGCTGACAAGCTATAAAGCACCGTCCAGGCGACCCTCTTGACTTCAACGAACTGATATACTAGCATCCAGATGGCGTCTCCGGTGCTGATTATATAACTGCTACCACACTCCCTCGCACAGCAGATCGTGTTCGCATCCCTTTGCCGGGACTTTTCTTTCTCGACCAAGCCCGTGCCGCCACGGCGTTATATATACCCCGATTTCTATCCCTGTTGGCCGGTGCGTCGCCATGACCAAAGAAACCGCCCGAGTATATCACGGCCTCCTTGCGTCAGGCGCTCGCGGCACATCGACGGAACAACGACTCCTCCCATCTTGGCTGGCGAATTCGAAGTGATTCTGCGTTTTCCCCATTCCCCCGGGAATGGTCCTTGTCTGCGTGCTAGTTGACGAGCCTGTGCCGCTGCTGTACTACTCAACCGGATAATATAAACACGGCGTGCTGCCAAAATGACACCGATTGCCGCATTTGGATTTGCAATATATATATTTCTTTCCCCCTCCGATGCAAAATCTGCGGCTTCAGCTCTGGAGGAGAACTAGAATCTGGGCACCCGTGCGTTTGTGTGAAGCAAGAGCCGGTTCAGAATACCATCCCACGGAACATTTCACGGGCTGCACTTCTCAGCTAACCTTGGTTTATAATTCTGCCTGCGTCTACATATGAATGCTTGTTCTCTATATTCTCTTGCGTCTAATGGCTTCTCGTGCATTTTCGCTGATCCAATAGCCAGCTTACAGTCGGGGTTTCGCGCGAATATTTGGTTTATATATTTTGTTCGATTCGAGACTCCGCGGCCTACGATGTTTGGCTCACTGTGTGGGTTTGTTGGTGACAGCTCTATAACATTGGAAGGGTTATTTCTTTTAATTCTTTTATTTCAATGTGCATGTTGGGCGACATCCCCTATATGTGAATGGCCCAAACAGATCAAGATCTCAAATATACGACTATAGTCAAAAGGTACTCTATTAGCAGCCATTTCTTGATATAAAACGCGTTTATCACAATGTCCCTATCATCGTTTGTAGTTGATCCGAGGACGCGATCCTAACACGGGCGGCATGGCTTCATGTATTGAAGTGGGCAGTCGTGGGAAGGCACTCTCCCATGTGTATGTGCCTCGGTAGGGGTGGTAGTAGGGTGATGGAATGGTGATCGATTGTATATGCTCATCAACAACAAACCCAACAAAAAGAACAATATCATAGGGAAGCAACAAGGTGAGGATAGGGTGCTCTCGATCATGTACGGCGGCGGAATCTCCTCATGCTAATCATATAGCAACAATGTGCAAACAAACAATGCCTCCATACTGGAAGGTCAGAATAGTAAGAACCTCACACATAGAAAGAATAGGCTGTAGTATAATCTATCTAATGAGTAAGAACATGTATGAAAAGTGTGTTATAAGATTGTCTCTTCTCTCGAAGGAGAGACTCGACCCAACCTTTATAGTCAAGGTCGAGTATGAAAGGATCATGTCGGTGAAAAAGTAGATGTACACAGGTTTACCCACTGCATACCTCCCTGGCATGGAAAATCGCCGTCCCCTGGCGAAAAGATCAGACAAAAACAAGAGACAAAAGAAATAAAAAATAATTAAAAAAGCAATCTAAGTACATGCGAGAATGTCAATTTAGGCTCACAAAGGAAAGCACAAAGGAAATAACATAAGCAACAGCATAATGAAGATAACATAGGAAAATGAGAATAGAAATGAAGGAATGGTGCCATTTAATAGTGGTCCCTGGTGTTATCGTCCTCCGGTACAGGCGACGAACGAAGAAGGTTGTGTGGTTCTGGTGCTGGTCTTCCGGTAATTCTCGCCACATGGTACAATTCTGCTCCATAACACTCCCTTTCTAGTTGGAACATTCACCAAATGAGATTGGGAATCCTAGCTCGGGCACACTGCCTTCAACTATGAATATACTGTCTGGCAGCAGTCTCATTGGGGCCAAAAAGAATGTCCAAATCTGCTATTATCTGCAGATTTGTCCACCTCTTTCTTCCAACTAAGGCATCTGAGATATGCCCCATCCCTTCTAAATGAACGGCAGCAGGGAATGAATATGGAATCATCAAGTACCAATTAGAATGCCCTGAAGGAGATGTTGGTCCGGGTGATAGGTCTCTATGGGCATTTGCAAGTTGTGACCATGTTCCGCTCTCCAACACCGTGACCGTCGATAATGACAAGTGTCTCGCGCGGTGTTGAAGACACCTGTCAATGGTATGGCCAGAATATCTCTGGCCATACGAGCCACTGTTGGGAAGGCTGACTCCAGGTTCTGCCACTGTTCCAACAGAGGCATTGACCCAGTGGTCAGGTTCTCATCATTGAGATATCGTTCCATCTCATTCTGAGAATTCCCATGTCCCCTAAACGACCTCTTAAAAAGGATATTCTCGATATCCTAACAATAACATCAGTATAGAGTTATTATCATTTGAATAATGACATACCTCGTCATGGGACAAGAGTATTTGGATTCTGTAAAAGAACCACTCCTGTCCCATCCAGGCTTCCTCCAAGCCATCCACCGAAGAATATCTCAACAACAAGTTCATGAAGTGGCAACACCATCCACTCCACGCTTAGCTGTGAGACAATGGGTCATAAAAGACCCCGGGGGGCCTATAAATTGTGTGTCAGCAAAGAGCTCCGACAGATGTGCTAAAGATAACATACTTCTCGGGTTCCCCCTAGCACAGCTCAGCCTCGAGTGTATACTGCTGATGGCAATCAATGCCAATAGACAGTATACCTCTTTATTGAGGCCTGGAGTGTCTGTCATCATGGAGCTGGTGCTCTAGCTTCCATGATGACAGACACCCCAGAAGAACTTGGCCATATTTTTCCCTGTATGAGCTCTATGTAGATCTGAATTGCTCAACCAGAATCTAGAGATTTATATACTCCGCTGGTGAGTCACAGCGCCCGCTCCTGTCTTCCATTCTGGCGGAAAGTCGCAGCAAGTTTGCCTGGATTTAACTGCAAAGTGAACTTTAGACACAAGATGATGGAATATATCCGGCTATTTGCATGTCCTGGTTTCAACTTGCTTTGTTCGACATCAAAGAATAGCCAGCAAAGGGACGCAATAAAAGAATGTACGCTTTCAAACTGCACAAAGGAGTGCTTTCTCTTGGGTGACCTCTGCTACGGAATGGAGCGCATAAAGACGTCAAGACTGTTACAGGGTTGATAGATTGATTGATAGCTTCACTCTCTCCTTTTTCTATTGAATAGTTAATCCTCACCAAATGTAAATGGTAAAGAACCAAAAATATCCTTCACTATCGCTTCATGCGTAAACCTCGCCTCGGCGCTGCGTGCTTTTGCTGCTTCTCACGGCTAATCCTGGGCCGCGGTTCATCGCATCTTGTGGAGATCCAACACCACGAGAGGGGGACGGCGGGTTTGACTATGGAGGGCAGCTCGAGGACAGCTGCAGCGTTCATCTTCATATATCATCACTGTCGCTCTTCTCCGCCTTGACCTGTGATACCCATTCTCTATCCAGACACTCGCAATCCATCGAATACCTTCCACCATGGCCCAGCAAGTCAGAACCCCCCTCTGCGACCTCCTCAGCATCCGCCATCCCGTCCTCCTCGCCGGCATGGCCCGCACCTCAGGCGGCCCTCTCGCCGCCGCAGTCTCCAACGCCGGCGGTCTCGGCACCGTGGGCGGACTCGGCTACACGCCCGCGCAGCTCGACGAGATGCTCACGGAGCTCAAATCGCACCTGGACCAGCCCAATCTGCCCTTTGGCGTCGACCTGGCCCTGCCGCAGGTCGGCAACGGCGCCCGCGCCACAAACCACGACTACACCCACGGCCAGCTCGACGAGCTGATCGAGGTCACCATCCGCCACGGCGCGAAGCTATTCGTCTCCGCCGTCGGCGTCCCGCCCGCGCGCACCATCCGCCGCCTCCACGAGGCCGGCATCCTGGTCATGAACATGGTCGGCGCCCCCAGACACGCTGAGAAAGCCATGCAGGCCGGCGTCGACATCATCTGCGCCCAGGGCGGCGAGGGCGGCGGCCACACCGGCGACATCCCCTTCTCCGTGCTCATCCCCGCCGTCGTCGACGCCACGCGCAAGTACCGCTCGCCGCTGACCGGCCAGGCGCCGCTGGTGGTTGCGGCCGGCGGCGTCAATGACGGGCGCAGCCTGGCGAGCGCGCTCATGCTGGGCGCCGCGGGTGTGTGGGTGGGCACGCGCTTCGTTGCGGCCGAGGAGAGCGGCGCGAGTCGCATGCACAAGGAGGCCGTCGTGGCTGCTGGGTTCAACGAGACGATTCGCACCCTGGTGGTTTCGGGACGGCCGCTGCGCGTGCTGCCGAATGAGTATGTCAAGGAGTGGGAGAGGAGGCCCGAGGAGATCAGGCGGTTGACGGAGAGCGGCGTGGTCCCGCTGGCGCACGATATGGAGGAGGGCAGGGATGTCGATCTGCCCTTCTTGATGGGTCAGGTTTCGGCTCTGGTGAAGAAGATCCAGCCTGCAAAGGAGATTGTGGACACCATGGTTGCTGAGGCCGCGCAGATGCTGCGGCTGGGTAATACGTATTTGGTCTCGGGGAGCAAGTTATGATATTAGGATACTCTGTTACGACTTTTGATCCGCTGCGCATTTTGTTAGCGTATGAAGCTGGTTTGATTTCCTGTATATATCTCTTTGGAGTAGTCGACATCACTGTCAACCTTTTGACTTGACAATCCATGATTCTTATAGCAACCCTCACCATAATTTATTCATGGCAAACGGGTAACATCAGGCTCATCGGTTCGTCAAAAAAGCTGCACTGACGCTACCTCCAGTTACATACAATGTACATCAAAGACCATCCACAGTCCGAATCGGTAACTGCAGCATATCAAGACGAGGAAAGGTATGGTTAGGCCAAAGCAGATCAGGATGGAATTCAACAGTTGATAGTAGCAATGAACCATGGGAGTGGACAGAATCCCACGATGGAAATCAGGGCTCTAAGAATAAATCACACAATAGCAGAGAGGCATAATACCAACACGTTAGAAAGTGGTCGTGGACCCGAGATATGCCAGAATCGTATGGGGAGGAAATGGAGTTCATTCCATTCATGCCAGGCGCGGTGCGTGGCCCCTGACGACAAGGCCATGGCGGATGACGCCAACCTCTCCCATTCGGCGAACACTAACAATCGAGTCAATGCTTGTATCCATTGACAAGGTTGCGGTTGCCGTTGGATCTCGCCTCGGCCAACGTTGGCGGCGGCGGAGGCCCAAAGACTGGCTTCTCTGTCGGCTTTGGCCCAGTCATATGCTGATGATGGCCGTCTCCGTCAACGTAATCACCGTCCTCGCTTAGTTCTTCTTCGTCTTCATCTTCGTATTCGTCGTCATACTCGCTCTCCGTGCCTTCATCGTCCACATCCAAGTCCCCTGCCAGTGCCTGACCCCGGCCCTGTTGTTGCATTCGCCGGCACAATGCCTCCAAGTTATTGCTCTTCTTACGCCACTTTTCAAGCTCTTCGTTGTTTCGGGTGCGTTCTTCCGCCATTTCAAGGATGTTTCGATTCGTCTGGTCGTGTTTGCGGGTCAGAGTGAGATTCTCCTTCTCAAGCCGTTTGGTCTTCTTCGACATTTCTTCCATTTCCTTTCGGAATGTCATGAAGAGTTCGTTGCTGTTGTTGAGCGTATCTTCGACCTACGAGCTTTGTCATTAACCATCGATATGATAATCATAACCGCTTGGCAATGGTAGGAGATAAACAGGAGGGAAACCAGGAACACACTTGTTTGAACTTTTCGACATATATATTAAGCTGGCTTCGCAGCTCAGCCTCGGTATGCGAAAACGTCGACACCTGTGAGCTCAATGCACGGCATCTTGCCGACTCCGTCTCGGCGCCTCGACGTTGCTCTTCGTACTTTGCGGTTAGACTCTGGATCTCGGCGTCTTTGCTTCTGAGGAGGGACTTGTAGTGTTGTTCGCGGAGCTCGAACTTTTCGCCGATAGTTTTGATCTTTGCACGAAGCCTAAGTCATAGTCAGAGGCGCTGCGTCCTTTTTGTCCGTAAAGCGTCCACGTGCCACTTACGCCTCGTCCAGGTCGATATCAATCTTTTCCACTCTGGGGTTTCCTTTTTGCGCCATCACATCTTGGATATCAAACAATAGCGAATCAAGGCGCTCGTTGACGATCCCACGAGCTCTCCGTTCCGTGTCTTCGAGTCTTTTGTTTTCATCCTGTAAACCATACGATCACCGATCAGACATTGTCCTGTTGCTGGAAAGATATATTCGCAAAGGTCCGTAGTTGGTAACCCACTTTGACTTTTTTATTCTCTTTTGTCAACTCTCGACACAGCTTCTCCAGCTTATCCTTCATCGTGGCCGTCTTGTTCAGCTCGGATTTGCCCTTGTCCTGGTCCTTCTGTAGCTGGTCGGCCCGCTTCTTGCTCTTGGCGTAGTCTCGATCTAGTTTCTTCATGTCGGCAAGCAGCTCCGTGTACTTTTTATGCACGGTCTCTAGGCGGGTCATGGGGGACTCGATGGTGTTCAGAAGCTGGTTCAGGTCCCGAGTGGCCTTCTTGACCTCGCGTTCTACATGCAGAGGGTCAGCACCGTACTCCGGTTCGCTTCTGCGCAACCAAGCGACATTCTAAAAGCAAGACAGCCTCTGACCGTCCGTATCAGCGACACATTCACATCAGAATCACGTACCAATCTCCGCTTCTTGGTCCTTTTCGCCAGCCGCATCTTGTTCGAGCTGAGAGATCTTGGCAGCCAATAACTTCGAGGTTTCTGTGGGATCGGCCGGTTTCTTGCCCTTTGCCTTCTTGTTCATGCCGCCTGGAGCCATTGTCGCGGATTTGACAGAGGGAGGGCGTCCGGTGGAGAAGTTGGAACTGGCAGGGCTCAGAGGCGATGAGTAAGAGTGGTTGATGCTCGAATGGGGGTGCGACGAAACAGTTGCCATCACTTGGCCGCAAGCCGACCGAGATCACCAATTCGAGTCGAGCCGGCTCACGGAACGACCTCTTGCTCGCCTGGTCGACGCCCCAGCGCTTCGATGACGGTCTCGTGCTCTGCGTGCGCAGTCCTTCAGAGTTTTCCACAACACAAGCAGCCGCGATTGACACACAGCAGCCGAGCCACGACGCAACGGGGAGGGCAGTTCAGACGAAACACCAGACACAAGTTCTCGCCGCCGGTAGGGAAGTGTTACGACATTCGAGTATAAGCGGCCGGGAGTGCAGAGTGTGTGGTCTTTCACTGCAGCTGAACGAGAGCAGCGAGAGTTCGGAGAGAGAAAGCAAGAGGGGAGCCGGACGTGATTGGCCGCTGCCGACTAGTGCGCTGCTCCAGCACGTCTTGGCTGCTGGCGAGATTTCACGACGTCGACGGCGAGCAGCAGAGCATCGAGGGCGGCGTTCTGTGCATCTGGCGTGAATCTGCGCGTGGACCTGGACGTGTGAGACTGGCATAATCCGCAGATTCCAACGATGCTTCGGTCTTCGACGCGTGCGCTGAGGCAGGGAGCCTCCAGGCTGCGAAATCCGTGTCTACAGCTTCTCCCAGGCATACGGGCAGCGTCGACGGTGACAGACCTCAGTGCCTATCCTTCTGTCGGAGAGAAGCTCCATGGCTTTACGGTTGCTGAGAAAAAGCATGTCCCAGAACTCCATCTCACTGCCGTTCGCCTAAAGCATGACACCACCGATGCCGACTACCTGCACGTTGCGAGAGACGACAAGAACAATGTCTTTGGCATCGGCTTCAAGACGAATCCGCCAGATGCGACGGGTGTGCCGCATATACTGGAGCACACTACGCTCTGTGGCAGCGAAAAGTCAGTGCTGCCAGCTCTGTATATGATTTTAAACGCAAGCTTATACTCATGGTCTGCTCTAGATATCCTGTCCGAGATCCCTTCTTCAAGATGCTTCCCCGGTCTCTTTCCAACTTCATGAACGCCTTCACCTCCTCCGATCACACCACCTACCCGTTCGCGACCACCAATAAGAAAGACTTCCAGAATCTGCTCTCGGTCTATCTCGATGCTACACTACACCCGCTCCTCAAGGAAGAGGATTTTAGACAGGAAGGGTGGCGATTGGGCCCTGAAAACCCCAGAGCTGCGGAGCAGAAAGCCGGCGATGAGCCTGCTCCCGGTGGCGACATCGTCTTCAAAGGGGTGGTGTACAATGAAATGAAGGGGCAGATGACGGACGCCAATTACTTATACTATATCAGATTCAAAGAGCACATCTTCCCCGCCTTGAACAACTCGGGAGGTGACCCGCAGCATATTACTGAACTTACGCATAAGCAACTCGTTGACTTTTCCAAGAAGAATTATCATCCGAGCAATGCGAAGCTATTCACCTATGGCAATATGGCTCTCAGCGATCACCTACAGCAAGTAGGCGCCGTTCTGGACGGCTTCCAACGGGCTTCTTCGGAACTAGACGTCAAATTACCCAGAGATTTAAGTGCTGGCCCTGTGACTTACACTGTCAACGGACCCATGGACCCATTTACAAGCGAAGATAAGCAGCACAAAACTTCGATTTCCTGGCTTGCCGGCGACTCAACCGATGAAGTTGAAGTCTTTTCCCTCGGTATCCTATCCTCACTACTCCTGGATGGATATGGCTCTCCCATGTATAAGGCGTTGGTCGAAAGTGGACTTGGCTCATCTTTCACGCCAAATACAGGGTTGGACACGTCCGGCAAGGTCCCAATATTTTCCGTCGGGCTAAATGGTGTATCAGAGAGTGATGTACCCGCTGTCAAGCAACGGGTCGAACAGGTATTCCAAGAATGCTTAGAAAACGGCTTCAATAATGAAAAGGTCATGGGCTATCTGCATCAACTGGAACTTGCGCTGAGGCACAAAACCGCCAACTTTGGACTTGGAGTGCTAGAGAAAACCCTGTCAGCCTGGTTCAATGGATTCAATCCAACCCGAGAACTCGTGTGGAACGACATTGTTAACGAATTCGAGAGACGGTGGAAGAAGCCGGCATACTTGGAGACCCTAATGAAAACTTATTTTATGAATGACAAATGCCTAACGTTTACGATGGCTGGTTCTCCCACGTATAACCAAACATTGGCAGAAAGAGAAGCTGTCCGTAAAGAAACCAAAATGACAGACCTCGCCACTAAATATGTCTCAACCGGTAAAGCCATTGAGCATCTGAAAAAGGAGGAGCTCGAGCTCCTAAAAGTTCAAGAGTCAGCTCAGCTTGCAGACGTTAGCTGCTTACCCACTGTGCATATAACGGATATTCCGCGAGAGATGGAGCGGAAACCGGTGAGAGAATCAAAAATTGACGGTGTTGAGGTTGTCTGGCGTGAAGCACCAACCAATGGCCTTTCTTACTTTCAAGGGTTAAATATATACGAAAATATCCCTGACGAGTTGAGATTGCTACTTCCACTCTTCAACGAGGCCATCATGCGACTTGGGACGGCCAAGATGACCATGGAACAGTGGGAAGACTTGATTAAACTAAAGACCGGGGGCGTTTCGTCTTCCACATTTTCCGTCTCGTCGCCGTTCGACCTAGGCAAGTATACAGAGGGCCTTCAGCTATCCGGCTATGCGATGGATAAAAATATACCTGATATGCTTGACATAATTACAACTCTCGTTACCGAAGCTGATTTTTCAAGTCAATCTGCGCCGCAAATGGTTCAAGAACTTCTTCGCTCTAACACGAACGGTGCGCTAGATGCAGTTGCGGGTTCAGGACACCGCTTCGCTGTGAATGTTGCTGCTGCCGGGTTGTCTAAAGGTTTCTGGATCCAGGAGCAGAAATCGGGCTTGTCTCAGATCCAAGCTGTCGCCGATCTCCTTCGAGATGCTGAAAGCTCTCCAGAGAAGTTGCGACAACTCATCGAAAAGTTGCGGTTGATCCAATCTTTCGCCGTTTCTAGGTCTTCTAAACTTCGTATCCGTGTTGTCTGTGAGCCGGGAAGCTCAAGTGAAAATGAAGCTATCATTCAGCGATGGCTAAGCCGTTTACCGAAGACTACTGCACCGCCACTCACAAATGGCGCTACCAGTTTTAAGCCTTCACCGAGCAAAATTCTTTATGATCTCCCATTCCAAGTATCATATTCTGGCCTCGCACTCAGAACAACTCCATTTATAGACCCTGATAGCGCGCCCCTCAGCGTTCTATCTCAACTCCTAACCCACAAGTACCTGCACCCGGAAATCCGAGAGAAGGGTGGCGCATACGGTGCTGGCGCCTCTAACGGCCCGATTCAGGGCCTGTTCAGTTTCTCCAGCTATCGCGACCCAAACCCAATGAATTCTCTCAAAGTCTTCAACAGCAGTGGCGCCTTTGCACGGGACCGCACCTGGTTACAGAGGGAGCTAGATGAAGCCAAACTTGGCATTTTCCAATCCCTTGACGCTCCTATGAGCGTGGACGAGGAAGGCCAGCGGTATTTCCTGACCGGAGTCACGCAAGACATGGATCAACGTTGGCGTGAACAGATCCTGGATGTTACGGCCCAGGATGTAAACAGAGTGGCTCAGAAATACCTCGTTGAAGGAACTGAGAGTGTTTTCTGTTTACTCGGCAATAAGCAGAATGCATCCAGCCTTGACGGATGGGACGTGAGAAGCTTGTCGATGGGCAGCAATGCGGAATCGGATCCCATCACCCATGATGCTGTTGCGGACACTGCATAAGACGTCCATCTGACGCTTGCCTTTCCTCATCGGATATACATGCAGTTTATGCATGATTGTACTCTATGATTGGCATATCTCTCCGTTGTACTGTACATTATTGCTTTGCATTTGATTTGGCGCCATTTAGAGGAATTTTGATTGTCTTTTGGTAATAGACATCTGTATATTTATACTATATCCCATCTCAGCAATCTTTGTGTTTACACTGTTCTTTGCTATCTCTTTCTTTTTCGATTTCTATCGGTTTCCATCTTGTGTTGGCTCACCAAAGGGGTTCCTTCGCGCTACTCAGAACAGAGTTGAACACGTCTTCCAACCTCCCGTCTCCATGGTTGGCAGATCACAAGTCCCTCGGGAATCAAACCCGAGAAAAGCGCAACATTGATGAAATAGCAAGGTGGAGCAAGGCGCCATCGGTGCGAAGCTCTCTCCTTCCCATGGTATTGTCGTTGCTTTCGGCCTTCCAACACGGCGCGTACGCGTGCACTGTGATGGTTAGACTGTAGTAAAGACATTACCTTTGGGTGGGATGGGTTGCCACGCTGAAGACGTTTTGTTTCTCCTAAGTGCTTTTTTGCTTCCATTTTTCAGACCTGCCTCAATCCTAAGAGCCTACGGAGGGCGGACTAAAAATGAGAAGACATGCAAGGCATTTAAATATGGTTCTTTGATGAGGTGTAAATCGGCTGATGGAACGTTTAGTTCATCATTTTACTCCCCCTTGATGGCAACTCCTCTCAGCCTTACATATCCTAACCATTTACTCCCATCTTCTTCTCTTGAAATAACCGATTCCAGTACTTCACACACCTCTCTAACTGCATCCTCCCTCTTTCCTTCATCTAACGCCTCCAGCGGTGACGCGCCCATCAACCGCACCCACCCTTCGATCCCTCCCTTCTCATCAGTCGTCAACTTGGTAGGCCGATATTCCATCTCCAGCCTCTCCACTCTGAAGCCAATACCTTCAAGCGTCTTTCTCATCCAGGTCTCTGATGGGAAAAACCACGGCATCACTTGCCGAGCTGCCTCGATTTTCACGCCCTGGTGCACAAGAGCTGCGATGATCGCAGCATGGACTTCAGGAACATTCCCGTGCCCTCCCATTTCAAAGATAAATGACCCGTTCGGTTTCAGACACCCATGGATGGCCTGCAGCACCGCAACGCGGGTGGTAGGATCTCTAAGGATCCAATGAAGCGCGGCGTTTGATACTCTTTGCCCGTCAAAACGATCAGCCGGAAGATTTTTGCAAATCATACCAAGGCCCAGGTGCCAAACTCACACTTTGTCCCACGTTGCGCTCGCAACACTTCCCCCCTGCAGCTCTTGATCTAGATACCGACAATCAACCGTCCTATACTCCGCATTCCCCCTCGCAAAATCCCTCTTCGCTGCCTCGATCATCCCCTTTGAAGCATCCAAACCCAACACGTACTCCACTCGATCCACAAAGTTGGCAGTGAACTTTCCATCTCCGCAGCCAATATCTAGCACCCGGTCCGTCGGTTGCGGGTCAAGATAATGTAATATCTTTTGAGTCAAGCGGGGCACGAAAGCGGCGGATGCGCTGTACGCCTAGATTTTATAGTTTGTGGTTAAGTAGAGATAACTTGTTCGGGAGTACGGGGCGGGGGAGGAATGGGCTACCTCTGCCGTCCAATGATCCGCTCCCGCTCCGCTGGTTGGAGCCTGGGTTCCCATTATTTGTCGCGGAATCGTCCGCCTGTTCTTGGGTCTTGGCTTTCCGCTCCGCTCGGAATCAGAGTTTGGGGACTAACGAAGCGAAACAGTGAAAAGGAATAGATAATGAGATATTTAAAAGAACTGTTAGAGAAGAATTAATTAAGATATTTCATCTTGTTCGACAATGATATAACCCTGGGGCGAGGCGGGGATGATCCGATATCGGACCAGCCAGCCTCATGCTAGCATGGTCACCAGCGCTTATATACGGTCGTCTGCGATGTCGGTTCTCGAGGGTATGAAAATGAGCTCTAGATAGCCTATGACCCTGGTGGTGCAATTACAGGGACTTTTCGTGGTTGAAAACACGAAACTAGACCGTTGTCGGAGGCTTTGGTTCATTGGGCGGGAATGGAAATGTAGATGAAATCCATGAGATGAAGCACTTTGCAAGCTGATTGCACGAAGCTGAAGTATACGGAGTTCAAGGGAGTGAGAGAGATAGTGGGACCTGAGTTGGCCAGTTTCTGGTAGGCAGTGTTGGATGAGAGCGGAATTCGCCGTTGGTTTCTAATTGCTGTTTTTGCTTTTATTTCTTTCGGTTTGTTGATGGATTTATGAACCATTCATCACTCTAACTACTATGTAATGCGCAAGATCCGAGCTATCGGTCCGTTCTATGACCCGGTGACTTGTTCCGAGCTGTCGGTAGGATTTCCGAGCACACACAGTACGCCCTTCTTCAGATCGATCTCAATCTCGGAAGCAGGCATCGTTCCCGTACATTTGGCACTGTAAACGCGAGAATCACGCATTGATTGCCCACTAATAAAGCGCGAATGAAACAACGCTGATCCTGAAGTAGTAAAAAAGTCCCCACGGTAAAAGGCACACTGCTCCATGCCGCTAGGAGAAATCGGAA